TCTGAGTGTATATAAACTTTACTCAGAGCGTAATAATATTAAACTCGTTTTGTGTTGTTTTTTAATCATTTTATGTATTCCAGATTCCAGATTCTCTAGAACATAAAGTACACCAGGAAATACTGTGGAAAACATCCTTGCTTAAACATCACTTAATAAATATTTAATAATAAATTTACAGGAGGGCTAATCATTTTGTCTCCATCTCCATGTACAGTTGAAGTCAAAATGATTCACCCTCCTGCGATTTTTTTCTTTTTCAAATATTTCCCAAACAACATTTGACACAACAAGGAAATTTTCACAGTATTCCCTATAATATTTTTTCTTCTGGAAAAAGTCTTTAAAAAAAACTATTTTGAAGTCAATATTATTAGCCCCTTTAAGCAATATTTTTGTCTAAAGAACAAACCACTTAAAACCACTGCCCAAACCCTTTATACAATGTCTGTTTCTCAAAATGCATTCTCATGTAATGTCATCATCAAACGTCAAAGTTCAGTTCAACATAAGACCGAAAGAACAAAGCATGGATGAAAGTTCCCGGATTTGTTCTTGATATTGAGGATGCAGACTTGAGCGCAAAATTCACTCGAGAAAGGAGGTGGATGTGCAGCATTCCCTATACCCGTTTAATTATTTAAGTTCAGAGATATATTTTATTTATCTCAGGAATTTCCCCAAATAAGACGATGAATGTAAACATTAACATGAAAATCTTAATAAAGGCATAAACACATTAACTAACATCAGCCTGACCAAAAAAAAAATATTTGGATTGCATTTCTTTTCTCCTGTTGTCACTAGTTAACACACTCAGCATAGTCCCTTTATTAATCCGGGGTCGCCCCAGCGGAATGAACCGCCAACTTTTCCAGCAAGTTTTTACGCAGCGGATGCCCTACCAGCCGCAACCCATCTCTGGGAAACATCCACACACACATTCACACAAACACTCATACACTACGGACAATTTAGCCAACCCAATTCACCTGTACCGCATGTCTTTGGACTGTGGGGGAAACCGGAGCACCCAGAGGAAACCCACGCAAACGCAGGGAGAACATGCAAACTCCACTCAGAAACGCCAACTGAGCCGAGGCTCGAACCACCAACCTTCTTGCTAAGAGGTGACAGCACTACCTACTGCGCCACTTCGCCTTACATTTAATGCTTCTTTTTTTTCAACACATCCCATAATTTCTAAAATATCAACCTCTACCAAATGGCTGATATGTCGGTTTATGGTAAAATATACTATGAAAAATCTGAAAATATGAAGTGTAGGACTAATTTATTAAAAGCAAAATATTCAAAAAATATATATTTTTGAAAACTAAATCATCATTTTTTGAAGAATGCCGTACAATATTTCAGATTCTCATTTAACATGTGTCTTTGTTTTTTTTTTTTTTTTTTTTACAATAAACCAAAATCAAGCTTAGTAGTGCAACAGGATTAAGGTTGATTGATTTCTTTGTTAACCAACTATGCTGTGTGTGTGTGTAAACCATTATCTAAAACAGTCATTCTTTAAATGACTTCAACTGTCATTATTTAAAACAGTCAAAACAGGGTCAAAAATTTGGTAGAGCGGGCAGTCAAATGGTTAATGATGTTTGTTTGCTGAAATTCATATTAAAATCTGTTTTATTTGTGTAATGCAAAGTATATTTGTAAGGTTTTTGTGTATGTTTTATTAAAAAAGGGGGAAAACATGTATTGTATGAAGGCTGTAATGTTTAAATAATTTTTCATCAAAAATATGTGAGGGTCACATGACCATCAGGAAGAATGTAGCATCTCATTTCTAACAGGAGATGTTCTCTGTTCTCGCTGTCTCCCGAGTTTATTCTTCTGAGGTGACCTGGCAAGACCACTCTCCATGTGAATGCAAGTCCCCTCTCTGCATTCTAGGAATTGAGAAACAGCCAATGACTTGCCTAATTACCCTAACTTGCCTAGTTATCCTAATTAAGCCCTTCAATTGCACTTTAAGCTGTCATGATTACTGTCATCATGACAAAGTTTAAAGAAACTGCACACCACCAAGGACATAGTTAAAATATTAATCATTTGTGCGTTCTTCCTCAGGTCAGAGAAATGGCTCTAAGAGTGGACAGCTGCCTGGTGCTGCTGGTTATGATATTTAGTTGTATACTGCTCCAGATGCAGATTATTAGTGGTACAAACAACACCACAATTTACTACAACATCACAGGCCTGAAAAACGGAACCAATTCATCCGGCTCTGCTAACCCATACAACGCCACCCAAAACGGAGGCAACCAGAAAACCAATGGGACCAATGCAGGAAGCTCCACCAGCAGCACGAATGGGCTTATGTGGAACACTACTCCATCCAGCAATGACAACCCATCCAGCACAGCTTATGAAGATGCAACGCTCAGTGAAAACAACGCTCACAGCTCCTCCTCTTCCTCCATGATGAACAGCTTCAAACATCTGCTCCTTGTGTTCATGGCTCTACATTTTCAACAGATGATACCATAACATGCCTTATGTTTTCTGAAGGTAGAGACTTATTAGAGTCCTAAAAAACGCACATGCTGTACGGTTAAAGTCCCTTTGAATCATCATAATTAAGTTTGTTAGACATTAGTTTCACTAAACTGTAAAAAACAATGCTGTGCTTCACATAATCGATTGTGGAGAACATGGAGTCAAGTTAACTTGTTAGTTTGCACAAATTTAAGTGGATTGAACATAAAACAAGTAAGTTAAAAATTAAAATCAAGAACTGTGTTGTTTCAGCTCAATTTAAGTAGTCCGAACAGGCAGCAAATGTCATTTTTGAGAGTACGTTAGTTTTAAAGGGACAGTTCACCCAAAAATGAGAATTCTGTAATTATTTATATCACAGGTTCCCAAATTTTTCAGCTCGCAACCCACAAAATAACAATACTGGTGACTTGCAACCCCCACTATCTTCTGAGGTGGTTATAAATATCCAAACACTGCACGCAAAACAATAGGCCCATATAAACATGAGCATGCTGACACCAGAAAAAAAAGTGCAACATTCTAACAACCATGTATTTTTATAGTCATTTATTAATTTAATTTAATATTAACATCATCTGCTGCAGCTGACGTAATTGCTGTGTTGTTAATTTAACGTTAACAGACCAATTCTATGAAAAAAAACATTTAAAAGCTGATCATTGTTGTTTTTTATGTAACTATTAACTACTAGTTTTATTTTCTGTAGGTTATGGATGAAATATGGTCATTCTAATAGAGTAATCAAATTTATTTGACTTTTGGCAAACACCAAGCGACCCCCTATTATTGTCCCATGACCCCCACTTTGAAACAACTGCTCTACATGTTCCAAACCTGTTTGAGTTTCTTTTTGAACACAAGAGATAGAGAAAGCTGTAACCATTGGCTTTCATATTACTTGTTTTTCCTACTATGGAAGTCAATGGTTACAGGATTTTAGCTTTCTTCAAACTATCTTCTTTCAAGTTTAACAGAAAAAAAAAAACTCAAAAAAGCTTTGAAACAAATTGAAGGTGAGTAAGTAGTGAGTTAGTTTTAAATTTATGGGTGAACTATCTCCTTAAGGATATCTTTAAGCTAGTGTGCTCCACAATTTGCATGAAGAAGTTGTTTTTTTTCAAGAAGTAGTGATCCGCACGATTACAAACATTCTCTTTTTATTCTACATTCCTTAGGAAACGAAACCACACATTTCACAAATGCCTTTTTTCTGTGTGTAAAGAAGATAGAAACATCCAAAGCTTGCAGTTTTGTCAGTTCTGCATGAATGGATATACGATGTATATTTTTAAATATGATTGAAATATTTTTAAATACATTCGATTTCTGATCTTCTCCATATGTACACTCCTTTGCGCTCTCTGACATCATTTACTGCTGAACTATTATCCGTTTTTAATTCAAGATAAGCTCATTTGGTGGTAGGTCTTTTAGCTGTGGAATTCCTTACCTTTGCACATTCGCCAGCTGGACACAAGTTTCCATTTTAAATCTCATTTCGATGATCTGAAGGTTTAATATGCGGTTTAATGTGCTTTTAATGCTTGTGTTTTATGTTATGCTACTGTAAGCATCTTGAAATGTGCCTATGAATATAAGACATTATTATTATTATTATTACCTCATACTTCAGTTTCTTAGCAAATCTTTCAACCAATCAAATGCTCTCTAGTGTCTGACATGTCCTGCCCCCTCCAAGATGCTATTGCTGTAAGCGCTTGAGTTCAATCACTCTCACTAGTAAAGCTGTGATAATAACAAAATGCTATTGGCTGTTTTTTTAAGAGGGAGAGGGTTACTGTATGCCCCGCCCTGTCTTTATGTTTCAGTTCAAATCACGTCACACATTAAACAAAAATGCACATTTCACAGCACTTCTGGTACTTTTAACAGACCCTTTTCACATTTAAAGGTTCCTCAGTAGCGGAAGTCGTCATAGTTGGGGAAACTTAGAACGCAGTGAATGGGAAAATACAACAAATAATTTTTTTACAATCTTATTTGCTCAAATAATAAAAAAACAAAAATCCAAATTATAAAGACTTTCAGAAAAGGTAAAAAAAAAAATTGTGTGAGACTGATGACGGCAGTGATAATAAAAGAATAACGTCAAATTTACTCTCTGCCCCATAGACTCTGCATTAGTAACGTCTCGCATATGCGATAATTCGTTTTGTTATTTGAAGCTAACATGATATTCTACATACATAAATACATATAAATATTCATATGTTTTCTAAAAAATGTAAATATTAAAAACTTAAAGATTTAAGATGCTGATGGACGTTAAACAGGCTTGTGAAAAGGGTCCATTCATTGCTGTTAGGCAACCGTTACAATGTATTTAATGTAAAATGTAATGTTTAATGTAATCAACAAAGGTGAATCTCTGTCGTTAGTTACAGTTCCTGTTTGAAACAATAAAACTTCCAAAAGAATGCTGTTTGCTTTTTTTTTCAATCAAAAAGTCTTACCTGCGCGTCACATAGTAAAACACAGGGTTTCCGTTCTTTGATGTTCCAGCCTGGTAGAAGATGTGTAGAGTCTTCAATGCTTTGAACTCTTCTTTCTCATGGACCTGGTGCCTAAAGAAACAGAAGAACAGTTAATAAATGAAAAACTTCAAATATGCTTTAGAGCAGTGTTTCTAAACCATGTTCCTTAAGGACCACCAGCTCTGCACATTTGCCACGTATCTTTAAAAAAAACCCACCTGATTCAGATCATCAACTCATTAGCAGAGACTGAAGGACCTGTAAAGGGTGTGACAGACAAAAGACACATCCAAAACATGCAGTGTTGGTGGTCCTTCAGACCAGTCCTTTAGAGGATAATAAAATCAGACTTCGCAACAAAAAACAAACAAACAATAAATGTATTTAATTGTAATTTATTCAATTGTAATAATTCAAATAATAATAAATAATTATTATCAAAATATTTTTAAAACAACATTAATTCATTTTATTGATAATAATTAATAAAAATGTGTTATAAGTATTTTGTTGTTTACTAGGTAATTGGTCTTGTTTTCCAATTTACCTCAGATAACTGCTGTGTATTTTTCTTACTCTATTATCAAGTGGTCAATTTAATGAACATAAATAAAAACAAATTAATTAATTAATTTCTAATAACAGTTTTTTTGTATTTGCCATAGTTACAACGCAATATATTTTATTACTTATTTTGCAAGATACTAGTATTCAACTTCAATGTTAACTAGACAAATTCGGTAATTGGGCAAGTTATTGGATAACAGTGGTTTGTTGTTACAATATTTATTTTTTTTTTCCATCCAGCAATTTTTACCTTGTCATGAACTCCTCAAATTTGGAGCTGGTAAGATTCAAACTGGACCAGTGAGTATCTGCCACAGGTTTGTGTTCTGGGGGACCCAGGTAAGCGAGCAGGGTGGCCATCTTATCAAAAGGCCTTCTTCCGACTGCTTTATGATCCCTGAGGATTAGGAAAGATTATACATCAATCACCAGAATCTTCATTGAGAATCTGAAAATCATAACCAATAATGTGCTTACTTTGCAATATTTTTTATAAAATTAAAATAAATCATGCCAGTCAGTCAATATAGTAGCACAATCAAACAACCAGACGAGACAGAAACTAGCTGAGAATGGAAAGTAAAATTGCAAATCAGCATCCAGGCAATATATACAGATTTGAATGAGCACCAAACTGAATTCCAAGAATCTAATCCTACGAATTGCTCAACCCCCATTTGTACAACTGGCCTAATGTGCAGGAAGAAAACACGAGTCTAGAGCTGTGTTTGACAGAATGGGTCCTGATTTACTTTAAAATTCTGTTTGATTAAAATACTATAATAAATACACCACATGGACTAAAGACATCCAAACAAAACAAAATCTAGACATTTTGTCACAAGATGTGACCATAGAAGAACAGACTGCCCAAATATATCCGTTATAAAATCTTAAAATTGCATGTATTGTACGCATTTAAGTACATTTAGCCCACAGCACATAACATAAATTTAAACATAGTAAATTTTGCTGCAAAATACACATACAGATTACAAATTTTATATCAAAACCAATTTTTTCTTTAGGTTTAAGTTTTAAAAATAACAGTGTGCATGTTGAATGTGACCAATTATGCAAAAATCAGCTTTATATGGGGTTTAAGCACAGTTGTGTGGCAACAATTTGTAAAATTAGCCAGCTTGTAATGGTAAAAATGTTTTAATTTTTTTTTTTAAATCACTCTTGTTAAAAACGATGAAAAAAAAGTCTGCAAAAACTTGCTGGCTGTTTCTCAATACCAAGTATGCAAAGTTCAGACTTGCGTCCTTGGAAATTCAGACTTGCCAAGTTCACATTTGGAAGAACGAACTACAGAGGATGCAAGGACACAAGTCGGAACTTCTTCAAATGGAACGGCAGCGTACTTTATAACGTCGCTTACCTCACCATGGATTCATATATAAAAGGACGGCCCTGTAATTAACATTATATTAATATTATAAATCTACATTTTTGATTTTACAAAAAATCAAAAGTTTAAAATTTGACAAAATGTAAACATAAATCCATATGAATGTAAAGTAAAATGAGTTATTATACACAGACACGTGTGATTATCAGATTTAATAAACTACAATGGTAACGTTAATTATTCAAGTATATACACAATAAGAAATAAAGATTACGATGGTAAACAAAGACAAACATCGTACAACACAGTAACATAAAGACAATTATAAAAGGTAACAAAATAATACTGTCAAAATAATACACCTGAGAACAAATAATAGATTTATAAGACCAAAAACTGTCCGTTAGATATTCACATGATGAATTAAATATCATGTTTTAATTACAATGGAGATATGAGATTCAGCGGTACATCCGAGATGGACTGGCCGAAGTGAAGCTGCTCTCTGCGGGGGAGGTGATGATGGAGCTCCCGCTGGAAGACGCGCTATCTTTGTGAATAAACTGCCGATTTAAATACAACTACATTCCCGCCTGAAAAACTCTTAAAACTTTATTTTGTGACACAGCACAGTAAAGGTGTATTTTTAAAACCATTCTCCACCATTAGCGTTTGCTGGTTTAGCTGCAATGGGATACCTGAGTTTCGCAAGTTGGCACAAGTCACCTCTCGATGCATCCTTGGCCAAAGGGGCAGAGCAAGTACACATCTGGGAATTTTATCTGTACTTGGCAAGATGTGAACTTTGAATTGGAACAGTACTTTGGCGACGGTTGATGACTTTCACAAGGACACAAGAACACAAGTACAGACAAGAACGCATATCGAGAAACAGCCTTTGATTGACATTCTCCCTTTGTACGTGTCATCAGAGGGGGAAAGCCCCGCCTACTAGTGACCATCTCTCCCTCATTAGTTCAATTCAAATTTATTTCTATAGCAATTTTGCAATGTACATTGTGTCAAAGCAGCTTAACATAGACGATTATAGTAACTTAACTGTGTGAGTTCAGTTTTCAGAGTTTCAGTTCAGTTTAGTTCAGTTCAATGTGGTTTAAGTTTCACTGCTGAAATTCTAAACACTGAAGACCAAATCCATCGATACATAGCTTCAAATGTCCCAAACCAAGCAGGCAAGTGTCATTAGCAATAGACATTAGTCTTGTCTTTGAATCTGCCACTATGCTTACACATATGCATTTGTAGCTCCACTCTTTTTTGTAAAGAGCACAATCTCATTTAAATTTAAAGTGACAGTCACCAAAATGGCACAATTAGGATCAAAGCCTAAAACGGGCAGTTCTAAAGAGTTATAAAACATTATTTGGTATTTGGAGCTAAAACCTCACATAAACACTGATGAGGACATCAGAGACTTATCTTTTAAAAAGGGGTATAATAGGTCCCCTTTAAGAGAATGCTAAATGTATTTTTTATTTTGTCCTGAATGACACCAATCAAAAGAAAAAACTATAAGAAAAAACAGAGCCGCTCACCTGTTGCTAGATAAATACTGGCCAATTTTTTCTTGATTGTTCCACAGCAGTCTGTGCAGAGCCAGAACGTTCCCATCACTAATAAAGGACAGGCTATGGTTGAGAGAGTCGCTAGCAGGGCAATCAGAGGCGATGTCCAGGAAAAATCTAGGAGGAAAACACAAAGATTAACCTAGCCACTGACAGAATTTAAATCCTGAAGATTGATAATCACTTTCTAAAGCAACAATGACATCAGTACTGAAGCGTTAGATCACACAAAAAAGAAAGTTAATTTTATTTATCAATCGTTTCAGTCCCCTGAGACCTTCATTCATCTTCAGAGCACAAATTAAGATGTTTTAGATCAAATCTAAGAGCTCTCAGACTCTCCATAGACAGCAATGGTCCAAACGAGACATTCAAAGTCCAGAAGAGGAATTAAAAACATCCTCAAAACATGTCAAGTATCTTTAGTGGTTCAACTGTAATCAAACGAAGCTCCAAGAACTGTTTTGTTCACCCAAAAAAAAAAAAATCAAAATGATTTTGTTTGCCAGGTCAAGGGGGATACATTTAAACCACAGAAAATGCAAAAATTCACATGTAACTAGCATAAAAAGACTATTTAGGATGTTTTCAGCAGTTTTACCGACTTTAAAATGCTGTTTATTATATTATGTGCCCTTTTTCTATTCAAAAAATAATACTACTGATAAAAAAAACAGTGCTCCCTCAAATAAACCGGATTATCTGCTCTGTATCAGATAATGATGTGCGTTTACTACAGGAAATACGCACTAAATGCACATCTTGATTACCTGACAAAGAACAGAAGACAAAGTAGTTTTTACTTTTTATTTGGTGCACAAAAGTGTTCTTGGAGCTTCGTATGATTACAGTTGAAGTCATATCAAACATTTTGACAATATTTTCCATTCCTTTTATGGACTTTAAACATCATGTGACCATTTCTACCAACAGAGGATGAGGGAGCACTCTTATTCCATCTTAATTTGAACAAAGGTCTCCAGGATTTGAAACAACATAAAGGTGAGTAGTTAATAACAGAATTTTTATTTTTGGTTGAACTAACACTAACACGCCAGCGGAGAAATTAAAATGGTCGTGCCCAACTGAGTCTGGTTCTCTCAAGGTTTTTTTTCTTCACTCCCATCAGGTGAAGTTTTTTTTTCCCTCTCCGCTGTCGCCACTGCCTCGCATGGTTCAGGATTGGTAGAGCTACGCATCGATGAATTTGCTCTTCAGTGTTTGAACTCTCAGTAATGATTAAATCACACTGAACTGAGCTAAACTGAACTGAACTGAACTTAAACACTAAAACCTGAACCACACTGTTCCAGTTACTGAACCACACTGTTCCAGTTACTATGATCATTTATGTGAAGCTGCTTTGACACAATCTACATTGTAAAAGCGCTATACAAATAAAGCTGAATTGAATTGAACTTTAAACTGAACTGAATCATGTTGAACTAACTAGAACACTACCAGATTTCTACCATTATTTTGTTTGATTTACTGAATATGTTCCACTGTGATAAATGTTTATTGTCTGACTTTAATTATTTGCCTGTTTCTACTTATAAAGCACTTCTTAAATGAACTTACCTTCTGGCAGCATCAAAATTACTCTTCACAAAGTCATTGAAAGGCCTCATGTGCTCCTCTTTTGTGAACAAAACATGGTTGGCAATACTTTGGAGAATCTGCAGAGGGGTGAGAAATTCAATAATTGAAGTCAATCCTGTAGTGTCTGATCTTGATTTGATGGTCTAAAACGGGGGTACTTAAGTTCAAAGGTCAAGGGAGATACATTTAAACCACAGGAAAAAAAAGACTATTTAGGATGTTTTCAGCCGTTTTACCGACTTTAAAATGCTGTTTATTACATTATGTGCCCTAAATTATGTGCCTTTCTATTAAAAAAATAATACTGATCACAATAATAAATAAACAGCAGATTAAAACTTTGATTATAAAACAGATATGTTGAGCACTACTAAATATAGGCCAATATTATATTTTACATGAAGACAATATCTGAAATGTATGCTAGTAGCTCTGCGCAGACAAAAATTCACACCTTGGACATGAGTTTTAGGCCTCTTTCTATCCTAGGCTGAGGTTTTTTGTCAAGAATCCCAGCCTCGTATGGAGAGACTATAGCTGGATTCACGAATCGCAAGAACATGGCACTGCCTACAGCTCCAATGCTGTTCTGAGGAAAACGCTGGCTCACGACCTGAAACCAAAACACACAAACACAAAAGCAGATAAGAAGAATTTTACACCTGGAGAACCATGGCACCATTTCATCAAGATTTACAAAGCAGATCCACAATCTCACAATTTTCAAGTGCAATTTAAAGCTAAACCAGACAAACTTTAGTTTACGGGAGGTGTAGTTAATCAATTGATAATAATAAGTGGATTAATAGATAGTGATTAGGGCTGCACAATAAAAAAAAAATCGCTAAATTTTGTTATCATGATAATAGCATATGCAATAAACGTAATCGAAGAGGTGTGATAAATTACATTTACTCTATTGGTTATCTAAATTCGACCAATCAGATGACTTACTATCTCTATCCCCACCTTTCCAGTAGTTGCTGTTCTACTATTAGAGCAGCCTAAAGGTGATCCCAGAGTTAAAAATAAACACTTATGGCTTGAGTCGAGATGTGAGGAAAATGACAACAGCCAATCATGACCATTGCTGTGTATGGAGGATGAGGGAGCTCTCTGATTTCATCTTAAATCTCTTAATTTGTGGTCCAAAAATGAATGAAAGTTTGAGTGAACTATCACTTTAAGGGAATTATTTTTAAATGTGAATCTACCAAAAAAGGTAGAACATGTATTTATTTAAAGGGGACCTATTAGGCAAAAATCACTTGTATAAGTACAATTTTTAAACTCAGTTGTGTGGGCATCAGTGTGTGAATATACCCAGTCTCTAATAATAAAATGTATTAATCCTATTTTTTTATGAACACATTTGATAAAAACAGCCTGGAAAAACACTTTAATTGACATTCTCCCTTTGTACATCAGAGGGGGAAAACTCAGTGCATTAAGGACAACCTTAGACAGCCCTGAGTGAAGCCTGGTTTATACTCGACAAGTACGCTAGTTCGCTTTTTGCTTTTATTCTTGCCATATTAAAAAATTTATTTGTAGAGCAACCCATGTTCTGTTGTCACTAATATTTTAATAAACTTTAAGAGGTAGAACTGTCTGAGATATGAAAATATTTTAAAGGTTATAAAAATCTTTATAATCAATTGAGAATATAATTAATTAAAATAATGAATAAAAATCACTTTAAAAAATTTTGAACGATGTTAATGATATGTTGTAATTCCGGAATGTTCCTACTTCTCTGTTTATCCGCTCGACTTTACGTTGGGTGTCTTTTGACCGCACCCAGTTGTTTTATAGAATATCACAACGGTGAACGCTTCAAGTATAAGTATAAGTCTCGTTCGTTTCGTCAGGAGCACGCGCAGTTAGCAGAGATGCACGACGCAATGCCAGACAGAAATATAAAACCAGCTTGGGAAGCAGTGGGAAATTGCACTGGTTTCAATTGGAAGTTGGAAATGCAATTAGATCTGTTTCTTTTAACATCATTAAATAAATAAATTATTGAAAAACAGAGTTAATAAACATTGCATTTTTCAAGGGAAATGTTATATTGCAAGAAAAATATCAACAATATTCAACAAAATTACACTAACTGACTTAAGTCTTGTCGCCTATCCAAGTTTTAGGAACAACAAATAATAACTTGACTTCTAGTTGATCATTTGGTATCAAAAGTGGCTTATATGAAAGATTACGCTTATTTGACCAAAATAAATGCCTTGATTTTTGATGATTTATTTAGGACAGTAAGTTTAAATAAATTAGTAAAAGTCTTGTCACTTAACAGAAATAATCTCCAGTATAGAATATAAAGTCAAGCTGCAGTGGAAAAAGAATGAATATTGTGTTTGACTCCCATGAGCTTGGACGACTACATCCATACATCTCTGCAGCGACTCAAATAACTTATTAAAGACATCTGAAATGGCAAAGAAAGTGTTCTTGCAGGACTCAAGATTCTTTAGAATCATCTTTAATGTCTCCTCCTTCATCTTACCCCATTACTCACCTTTACTTTGATGTGGAGACTTAAGTATGAGGAGCGCTATCCTGCTGAAGAATTTTCCCTCTCCTGTGGTTTGTAATGTAATGGGCAGCACAAATGTCTCGATACCTCAAAGTGTTGATGTTGCCATCCACTCTGCAGACCTCTCGCACGCCCTCATACTGAATGTAACCCCAAACCATGATTTTTCCTTAACCAAACTTGACTGATTTCTATCAGACTCTTAGGTCGATGTGGGATCCAATAGGTCTTCTGCAGTATTTGTGATGATTGGGATTGGGATCTACCTTCTGCCACTTTTCCAAATTATCAACTAAAAGTCAAGTTATTATTTGTTGCTCTTAGAACTGGGATCAACGACACAACTTCTGTCATGTAGCATAAGGCGTATTTGTCCAGTATCATGCAGCCCTAATAATGATGGAAGTATCTGAATGAAATGGCACCAGAGGCTTTACAGTTAAAAGTGTAGAAAGCAGTTTTTAAGCCATTAAACAGTTGAATGATGGCGGAGGTCTTCACCAGTGACCTTTAAGAGTGTTAGAGGAGAAAAAAAGTGAGAAGCAAAGCATTAAAACTACAGAGAAATGTGTTTTACTTGGGTTGAACGATCAAGCGTGAAATCATTCAGGCATTCAGGAAGAGAGTTTGTTCTCAAATTGAACTACCCACAATGCACCACTGCATTCAACGCCCTGATAATTTCCAATCCTCAGACCTAAGAGTGGCGGCTCATGCAAAGATGATGCCCGGAGCTACAGAGTTTGCTGTTGTTGTTGTTGTTTTGGTGTTTGTGCTAAGAGGTTCATTCAGTGAAAGCTTCAGCTTGCCAAAAATCAGGAAATTAGTAGCTATGATTTAATGTAATGACAGTAATGCAGGCAAGAGGTGCACAAGAGTCTCGGATTAATGAAGTGAATCGGGACAGGAAGCAGATACGTCCGCCATTCACACTTACTGCTTTCCTCACTTCCTTTCTGTCTTTGACAGAGGCTTTAGACAGGAGAGAGTGACATGTAGCCTACAGGACAGAAATGAGCACAAACAAGTCACAGCACAAGCTAACACACACTCACCAGCAGGCCCACATGAAATACACATCTTACATATTTAAAACATTGAAAAAATAAATAAATGAATAAATAAATAAATAAATAAACAAATAAATAAGTACATAAATATTTATTTATTTAATTATATTTTATTTAAAATACGCAAATAATTTAAATCTAATTTAATAAAGTTTTCAGCTATCAATGAGTGCATAAAATACTGTTTAAAATTTTGGGACCAGTGAAAAATCCTTTATGCGAAAAAGGGATGCCTTTAATTGTCCAACAACACAGTAAATATATTATTACAATAAAAATGTTTTGTGATTAATATTTTTGAAAATACAATTTATTTCTGTAAAGTAACCTGCTTTTTTTTTAGAATTATTAATTTTATTATTATTTTTGATGAATAGGAAGTTCAAAAGAACAGCATTTACATGAAGTACAAATATCTGGCAACCTTAAAAACGTATTTACTGTTATTTTTGATCAATTTGTTTAAAAAATAAAATGACTAACCCAAATAGTTAGAATTTGTTCTATATTTTTATAATGTCTGCAAAAATACTTTTAATTTAATAAATACAATTAAGATGACTTCTTTATACACTGTACATATACTATATAAACTTTTTCACAAATTCATTAAGTTCATGAAAACAGTTTCTGAGTGGACCTCCTCCTTACATACAAAGGGACTGATGTCAAATATACATTTGAAATAAACCAGTTCTATGAGGAAACATGCACAGTTTGAAAAGACAGCAATTTTGAAGATGTTTCTTTAGCAGCATTCCTTTATGAGGTTCTTGCTTCTGTTGAACAAGTCTTTTGGCCCTAATGACCTTCCATATCTCTATAGTATCAGCACAATTGTATTAACTCAATAATAAATCAGGCTGACATTATATAATCAAAGTGATTGTTCAGATTTGTTAGCACTTGAAGGTGAGTAAATAGAGAGTACTTTTCGTTTTTGTGTGAACTATCCCTTTAAGAACTTACACACAGGGTTTCTACAGTTTTCACCCATCAAATTTAGGACTTATTAAAGACCTTTTAAGACCATAATAAATGAAATATGGACTTATACAAGGCTAAAAGCTTAGGACTTTTTCTAATGGGCTGGTTGGACTGGTGAAAAAGATTTTTACTTGCTTCATTAAAAATTCACATATTTATTTATTTCCTATAAAATGTATCCACATATTTTAAAATATGTATCGAAACAAAGAAAATCTAGCTGTATAAATACACCTTTTCCCCGAAACACTTGTCTTAGTTTTAAAAACTAACTAAATGTATGCCCGATACAATGTCTGTCCAGGTCAGTCTCCTCACAAGGTAGCTATAAATAAATACATGAAGAACTTTTAATCAAACATTATAATAAGGAAGATAATTAAACCCTATTAGTAAACAGAGCTAATAATAAAAAAAGCTAATAAATAAAACTCTTTTGGAATTTAAGACCTCACTGACACCCTATTTTAAAAGGTTTAATTCAACACTCAAGGCAGATTATATTTAACAGTAGGAAAATCATCATACACGTTTACATGAGCACACAGTCATTCACCGAAGCAAACTCCACCGTGGAATTACAACATTCAGGACATTCTCTGTGTTCATCACCCTCACCTGAAAGAGACAGTGACAGACGCTGCGCAGCTGAGGAGGAAACTCTCCAGATGAACTGATTATGGCCTTAAAAAAGCGTTCAGTCATTCGAAGCAGATTCCGCTGGTTCTCCTCCAAATTTTCACCATTTTCAAGTCTACAGGAAGAAAACAAACCAATCAACCTTCAAGCAGAAACCAAACAACAAATGCGCTTGTCTGCTGAATTTACTGGAGAGTGTGACAATGCACAGTCTAAAAGAGTTTATCACATTAAAGCACACAAAAACACTCAATTAAGTGAAGGTTCATAAACTAATTTCGAGGAGCACGTGATATGATTGAGCACGACTGGCTGCTCATCTGTAATCAGGCATAATCCAATCAGAATGATCCTATCTCACAGTAAATAGATACATTTTTCCCTACTGCTCTATCTTTGTTTTGGAAGATTCCCCACTTCCACCCTATCTCCTCCTCTTCTAAGGGGAGCTCTCTAGACTCACCCGATCACCGATCCTCTTATATGCTTATTGACACGATGGGAGCTCTGGGCTCAAGTATCTCCGAGCTCAGGGTTCTCTCCCGGGACAGCATGCCAAACCTGCTATTAACGCTAAGCATATCTAAGTGGGAACTCTTGAAAACAATCTATTTTAAATGTATATTATTATTATATATATATATATATATATATATATATATATATATATATATATATATATATATATATATATATTATATATTATTTACAAAGAACTTTATCATTTGTAAAATTATGTTGCAGATACAGTGCTCAACTAAATCGAGTCCACAATATATTAACATACATTTTTTATATATTTTGTTGCATTTGAACAAAACAGATTTATTTGACGGATATATTTTTTTAAAATAATCTTTTAATCATCGAACATATTAGGAATATAAAGATAATATGTTTAAATTCAAGCAAAATCTTGGGGGAAAATTACAAACTACAAAATTTCAACAATTTTATATTTCTTTTGCTTCTCTTGAATTTTGCTCTTTTAAAATTTTTTTTTTCTGTTTAATATTTTTCCCTAACATATACTTCTGGGTGTACTTATTTTAGACCATTATCATAAGTTATTTTGTTAGATAAGCTCCAGACTTGGCCCTATCACTGACTAATATATTGTAGATCCACAAATATAAAATTGTAAAGCTTCCTATAAAAAATATTAATTTAAATGAGAGATATGTGATGGGTGTACGCATACGTGTTGAGCACTGTACATTTATTTATTTTTATAACTATTAATTCATTTAAATAATTTTGTTCATTAATAGCAGGTGTTCAAGCACAAACAAAGTTTAAATAAAATGTAATGATTAATTATATGTACTGCTCGGTGTTTATACTGCAGGGCTGTTGAATGCTTAATTTTGATTGGTCGATGGTTTATATTTAATCTTAGACCAAAGCAAGTTGAGAAATCAGTATTTGGTGAAAAAAAATGATTTTTAATCACTACAATTGCCACTTTTTGCAAAATAAATAAAAAATAAAAAGTCTGAATGATAATAATTTAATTTAAAATGTATTTATTCTATAACAAATAACATTTATTCTATAAAATAAATCCAGAGAACAGCCCAATGGAAACAGATACCGTGGGTACGGAAAGTATTCAGACTTTTCATAGCAAATACAACCTGTATATAATGTTCATAGTACATCCATCTGTAAATATCACCATAGTTTTTCTGTAACTGCACTTTATAACTTATACCTGTATCCAGCACTTGCTGCTATTGAACTGCTGGTTAGACCTAAACTGCATTTCATTGCCTTGTAGTTCTACATGTGTAAAGACAATAAAGTTGAATCTAATCTAATCTAATCTAATCTAATCTAATCTAATCTAATCTAATCTAATGTGGTAGAGTTCAACTCAAAGCCACTTTTGTGGCGACATAAAATAAAAATAAAAATCTTTATTCAAGCATTTATCAACAAATATCAATCACATAATGTTTATAAGCTCAGTTATGCTAAAGGTTTGTAATCCAAATGAATGGAAATTTCATATGCAATCAGAATACATCAATATTATTTGTTAGGCCTTAATATTTTTTTTGGGTGCAAGTGACAGGTTCATTCACAGCAGTTCCTGATTTTAAAGCCCAGTGGGAACTGATACCTGGTAGGATCCACCTCAAAGCTCAGCATGTGCCACTCGGTGCCCGCAATCACACTTCTCAACAGCGGCTCCAGCAGCTTTTGCAGATATGTGGCTCCATACACCTGAAAGCAGAAGCAGACGCACAGGCAAATGATGGGGATTAAGTTTAGCTGTGGATTTCCCTCTGTGAATGATCATTTGACTTCAAGTGCATGCCAGGGGAAGCGTAGAGAAAAACACCTTAAAGCAGAACGTCATGATTTTACTGGCCAGGCTGTTGCCACGGAACAACGTTTGCATGGAATCCGCCAACTCCACCTCTTTAGAGAACATATTCCACAGGAGCTGATATAACAGATGCCTCGAGTCGAAGAGAGTTACCAGAACACGTGCCAGTTCATCCTGGAAAACAAACAAACAGCACACTAACTATAGGAAACAGAGATGTTGATCTAGGGCTGGACATGTAATGTAATGTATTTTTTATTTAGTGCCATGTCAGCAACCAAGGCTATCTTCATGGCAGGAATCTTTCAACAATAAATATACATTTTAAAAATCAACAAACAAAATAAAACATAAATTAAATAAGATTTTTTGTGTTAATACATGATAAAAATTCTAAAATCTTTTCTGGTTCCACTTTGTCAAAAATGTCCTTAAAAGAGTTAATTTCATAAAAAGTCCTTCTGGAATCAGTAAAAGCAGGACAGTCCAGTAAAATATGTTTTACAGTAATAGGAGTTTTGCAGCACAAACACTGAGTGGGGTTTTCACCTTGGAGCAAAAATCCATGTGTAATTCTCGTATGCCCAATACAGCCCTAGGGCTGGACAATAAGGCCAAATCTAATATACAGTTGAAGTCAGACTTATTAATCCTCATGAATTATTAGCCCCTTCTCTATATTTTTCCCAAATTTCTGTTTAATGAAAATAAGTTTTTTCTTCCCAACACATTTCTAAACATAATAGTTTTAATAACTCATTTCTAATAACTGATTTCTTTTATCTTTGCCATGATGACAGTACACAATATTTTACTAGATATTTTCTAGATACTAGTATTCAGTTTAATGGTTTAATAAGGTTACTTAGGCAAGTTTAGGTAATTAGCCAAATCCTTGTATAACAGTGGTTTGTTCAGTAGACAATATGAACACAAAATATTTTATGTTTTGTAAATATACATCCTTTCCTGTCATTTTGTAGCACAATATGCTGCCTTCGTTTCCAGGGAGGCCCATGCATATTTTAACAAGACAATACAAAACCACATTCTGCACACATTACAAGTCCTGGCTGTGGAGGAAGAGGATACAGGTATGTTACTGGCCTGCCTGCAGTCCCGACCCGTCCCCAATAGAGAATGTGTGGCGCATTTTTAAGTGCAAAATGTTACAACGAAGACCCCGTAAAGATCCCCACCTTAAGAGTTGCTTGCAGGAAGAATAGGACAAAATCACATCTGAAACACTTCATCACTTGATGTCTTCAGTCTATAAACGTCTTTTAAGTGGTGTGAAAAGAAATGGCAACATTACAAAGTAGTAAACACTTTACTGTTCCAAATTGTTTTGAAATATGTTGCAAGAACCAAAATTGGAATACCTGTTTGTTTTGAAAAAACTATGAGGAACACATTAAATAATGTTTGTTGTATTGTCTGCAATGAAACACAAGTCAAAGTAAAGTTAGAAATAACTACTTTTTTTCTTTTTCTAAATTGCCCTAACTTATTCTGATTTGGCGTTGTAAAATTGTAAAAGTTGTAAAAAGTTGTAAAATCCAGAAGAAAAAATTGTATAAAAATATTATAGGAAACACTGTGAAAAATTCCTTGCTCTGTTAAACATCTTTTAGAAAAATATTTTAAAAAGAAAAAAAAAAATTTAACTGGAGGGCGAATAACTTTGAGTTCAACTGTACTAAGTGACATATTTCTTAAGGTTAATTCGCCCCCCAAAAAAGTAAGCTTATGTTATTAATTACCCTCAAGTTATTCCAAACCCTGAGACCTTTGTTCATCTTCAGAATATCAATAAAGATTTTTTTTAAGATATGGTTCTGATTCGATTAAAGTCCATAATAACTTTATTTAACCATTTCTTCTACTCGTTGTCAGTTTATTGCGCACATTAATGAAAACTGCGCGCTGTTGTGTTGCAATGCTTTGCATCCAATTATTAATCAAAAAGTATTTAAATATCATCTACCACAAATGTTTTTTTTTAGTAATTAATCTAGAAATCCAAGACTGCAAGTCTGAAATCGCACACTTTCATACTATATAGTATGCTAAAAATCAGTATGTGAGCCTGTATAACCTACTTTTTCCGGCGAGATTCTGAAGTGCGCATCGGATAGACGCTACACTAGAGATCTGCACAGGACTATTTTTTTGAATCCTGCTCTCGCCAAAATTAAGTCCGAACCCGACTGGTCTCGCTAATATTCAGCATTTGTTGTCCCACTGCCCGATCTGCCCCTTTTTCCAACCGCCACGCCCGCTAACGACGGGGGTGGGGGGGGGGGGGTGAACAAAATCAAAAACCACCCAGCTATACAGAATCCAGACAGCCTATAACAAGCTGTCTGTATAAACACAGACACACAGCACCAAGCAAGTGACACACAGACAGCATCACGCTCTCTCTCATTCACACACACACACACACACACATAGACAGCATGAAGCTCTCTCTCTCATTCACACACATAGACAGCCACAAACAAGCTTAACACAGCATCACGCTCTCTCATTCACACACATACATTAGCGTGCTCGCTCGCTCGGGAGTCAGGAGCAATATTGTTAGACTGCCCGTTCCAGTTCAATTTATACCAGAGTTACCGACTGCTTCCCACTTTATTCGTCGCAAATAATCTGGTCTGGTCTAAATGCAAACCTCTATGCTACACTATCCCATGATGATACACAGCAAGAGAATTCATGAATGGGAGAAGCGACGCAACTGACGTGGGTAGGTTACTTGATGAAGACAAAATGGCAGCAGAAGTTCTATTCATACTGTATAGAACATACTTTTCTAATGGTCGAGTACTACATTTAAATTCAAATAAAATTCAAATTCAGAATAGTGAAAAACTTTGTAAAATATAAAAAATGTCAAATATCAACTTACAATTGTGATAAATAAACTCTCAATTGTGTGACAAAAAAACAAAGAAATCAGGATATGTAAACTCTGAATTCAAAGAAAAAAGTCTGACCTGTGGGATGTTAACTCAGAATGACATTAACATCTATAAAAAGAAAAAAAAATCTCTGAATAAAAAATCATATAACTTGCAACTGTGAAAAATAGTCTGTGGCATTGTTGTAAATGGAAAAAATTTAACATTATAAGATATAAATGTAAAAAAAAAAGTGTAAAGATATAAAAACTGAAACCCAGAGCTGAATATGTTTTCTTATTTTTTTTATTGTGAGGACTTCCAAATCTCTCGCATTCTGTTCAAAAAGTTTGAAAGAGAGAAAAAAATGTTACATCCAAACACTTTTTAATTTTGTTTCAGGTATAAAAATTGTTCTGATTTGATGGTTTATGTTTTAGTGAACTACAGTAAACCTGAACAGAGATTCAGAAAGAGATTGATAATGATACAGATAGACACAGGGATGTAAGAAAAAAAAGACTAGATCACAATTTAATATGCAAAACAAACCAAGAAAGAAGAAGAGCATTGCCAAATCAGCATGCAAATAATCATTGTTTGATTTTGACTAGCAAACACTGTACTATTGTAAGGCACAGGAAGATTTTAAAGATCATTTCATTTCTTTTCAGTACGTGACGGCGAGACACCTCAGGTCAAAACTACTTTTAGATTTTGGCTTTTTCTGCTTCTTCCTGCGCATTATGGCTTTTAAAATGTTTTATTTCATTTATTTGTATTGTAGTGCAAATAAAAGTTATCAAATACAACTTATTTCAGCTACAATAGTTAGTTTTGAAGCCTGTTTTCTTAAAAGGAATTTCTGTACATCCTGCATGAGCCATAAATCTCTACTTTGACAGCATTTACACATACCAAAGTTTAGTTTTATTCATATTTAAATTCTGAAAGTGTGGGATATGTTCACATTTCATTTGCCTAATAGTACAATATTTTATTATACAAAAAGTGTGAAAATTAACTAGCAATTCTAAGTGTTTTCTGAATTATAGAGTGATGAAAAGTGATTTACAAAACCCAGTTTTTTTTAAAAACCTTTGAATCGAAACCTTTTGAACCCAATTTCATCCAATGTTCACACTTTTGTGTTAGAAATAATGTCAAGCCTGAAACTATTCATACATCTGCCAAATTCTGACAACTTTTATTTAACCATCAGGTTTTTTTTGTGACCAATAATGACACAGACTTATCTCAAAACATTAGACAATGCACAAGACACTTGAACAAAGTCAGAGTTTTCCAGGGGAGTGAACATAAGGGCTTGACTGTATATGCAATTAGCTCATATTGAATTAAACAATGCATTATTTGCAATTTAAAAATAACATTTTAGAAAACCAGTAATGCAAAAAAGTTTGTAATTCTTAAAGTAATGAACCAACTTGGGAAGTGTGGTGAAAATATTGGTTATTTTTTCTACCTAAATAATCCATATTAAACGGTCCCTTAAAAGTCCTCTCTCGCTTTCAGTTTCGGCTTAGGCGCGTTTTGCACTCACACACAAGCGTACCACGCCAAAGCCCAAGTGAGCCCGATTCAGAGCACTCACACTTCTCAAACAATCCGGGAAACGGGCCTGGGCACGGTTCGGATAGCATAGTATGAGTACGCCCTAACAGACTGAAAGACAGTTTCATCCATCAGGCTGTCAGGAAGCTGAACTCCCCTCTCCCTACCCACGCACCTTTGGACTCTGACACACATGAAAATATATACTGTTCTTTAACTGCGGTTGGCACTCATTTGCTATATGGCCTTAATGTCATTGTATCGTTTACAAATTTTTATTCCTTATGTACATTTTTAGACTACATTTTATGTAAAATTGTATATATTGTACATTTTCTTTTTCTAAAAACTTTAGAAAAACACCTTGGGTCTGAGAGTAACGTAATTTCGATTCTTTATATGTCATGTACATGTGGCTGAATTGATAATAAAGTTGACTTTGACTTTTGACAGATTTTTTCAACACATTTTTAAACAAGAGTTTTAATAACCCATTTCTAATAACTGATTTCTTTTATTTTTGCCAAGATGACAGAAGATAATATTTTACTAGATACTAGTATTCAGCTTAAAGTGACATTTAAATATTTAAATAATTTAATTAATTAAAGTAAGTTAGGTAAGGCAAGTTAGGATATTTAAGCAAATATTTGAAACAGAAAACAAAATTCATAGGAGGGCGAATAGTTGTGACTTCAGCTGTATGTAGCTGACTTAAATACTGTACAGAAATTGCAAAACAGAATAGTGAAGAATGTATTTTGAGTATCTGTAGCTGAATTAAATCCTGTACAGTATGATCTCCCTAATGTACTCACCCACTGTGAACAGGGCACCACACTGGCCAGAGCCATTGCGATGGGCAACTCGCCCTGATCCCCCATCATGGTGACGAGCTCCACCAGCCTCTCGAAGCGGTCCGCCAGAGCCGTCTCTGCCAGCGTGTCGAACTCTGTGCCTTGCTGAAGAATCTTGGTGAGCACCTCCATAAAGGTGGCTCTGGTCTGAAGGTCTTTATGATAGCCCAGGCCTTGGGAACAGCAGATATGCATAATGAGTAAAATAAAATAAAATAAAATAAAATAAAATAAAATAATAAAATAAAATAAAATAAAATAAAATAAAACAAAATAAAACAAAATAAAATAAAATAAAATAAAATAAAAGTTTTTGGTTCTCCCACCGATAGAGTGCATCAGGCCGCTGTCCACATTGGCACTAAGCAGGTTGGACATGGCCAGGATGGTGCAGTGTCGTAATGATGCCAATCGCCTGGACATGCCTCGCTTCCTCCCGACCACCGGCTGACCCTCGTCCTCCACCTCGCTGCAGTCGTTCAGCAGGTTCATGAACAGAGTGAAGTATCTGTGCAGGAGAGTAGGCTCAATCAAGGGCACACATGGGGTTATATAAGACATTACAGATCATGTGGAGAGCTTTACTTCAGGAAGAGCTGAGATTTGGCCTCCATCAGCTCCACTCCGTCACCTTCCTCTGGCTGAAGAGGCAAACCGGCCAGAAGAGACACCACCGCTTCCATACTCGCCTGATCCAGATCCCTGACCACACAAAACAACAGAGCTCACTGCAAATCAAGCAGATAACGCTAACAAAATCAAAGTCATGAATTCACCATTATGAATTCTTTTTCTTTTTAGGTTGTTTATTTAGAACGTCATTAGCAAGAATAAAAATACATATAGTCATTATTTTACTTCAACTGTGATTAATATTGTAAATAAGACCAAGCAGAATTGGCAGGATTTTTTTTACATATTGATTATTTTAAAGGCGTGTTGTAGGAGTAAGTGTGGTCTTGGTTGTTGTCGCTGCTGTTGTTTCTTTGTATTGTGAATATGTGAGTCTAACCTAAGACAAATTTCTATAAGAATGACAAATAATGACAAATAAAAAAGAATTTTTGAATTCTAGAAGATCTACATATCGTCAATGAATTTAAAAATACATTTTAGACTTTTTTTAAAACAAAATTGCAAACTATTTAAAAATATTATTTTTGATTACAAAAATTTTTAGTCTTTTTTAGTCGAGAATGTAGTTGTTTAGATTGTAACTATTCTTTTATTTATAAAGATAGTGCCCATTTTCAGTATTTATCATTTTAGAGATTCAGCGCATCGGTGGCCATCAGCCTGTCATATTGAGCAGAGCAAAGATGGTTGACGTTCTGCCACAAAATGGCGACAAAGACCCCATAATAAGTCCTTAAGGGACACCGTTTTCTTTTCATATTTCAAACTACAGCTGATCAAATCATTATTATACTGGTAACTGACATCAAAGTCGATCTCTCTCTCTCTCTTTTTTATGTTGTAGTGCTGTATTTATACCATAGTAATCTGCTAGTGTTTGCTTTGGCTTTTTCGGGGTTAATTATTGTGATCTCTCGATTGCAACAAAGAAATACAGGGAAATCACTGTAGACTGATGCCATTTCATGCCGTTCAGCCTTATAATCTTAAAATTTGATTTGATTTGATAAACGCAATACACACTCGTAGCAGTATGATATGGCTGTATATAGTCACTGGTGGGAAACTAAGGCAACACACGACTCCCACCATGGCCGATATACAATATTGCATCTTTATATATAATATTGCAAATCTACAAAGTGTGTTTTTTCTCTCAACAGTTTTGTAATAACCCATAGTGACAAAACAGTTTTTTTTTGATGAGTAATTCAGTGATTTCAGTGCCCTATAAAAGGTTAAAAACAGTTTAGCATTTTATGCATTTGTAGTGAATACTAGCAAGATTACTTAAAAGAATTTCTTCCTGATAATATATTCATAATCTAGCATAAGTATAAAAAATAATCCAGTATAAAATATAGAAAAGTATATATTCACATAGGTGTACCATGTGGACTCCATTTGGGTGAAATGATTTTATAATCGTATCATTAATTTTAGAAGTTAAGCTTAAAATGTCCCCTAAAACCAAGTTGCACTAAATCACCAGTTTCTCATCGCAGTGATATTTTTTATTACATATGATCAACACGAAAACAAATGTCATTTCTCAAAAATAGTTAGGTTCCTCATACATAGGAATTCTAAAAAGGCCCAAACACTTCAGACTACCTGACAGAATTCTTGTCGTCGATCTAAGTTGTAAGAGCAACAAATAATAACTTGACTTCAAGTTGATCATTTGGAAAAGTGGCAGAAGGTAGACTTTTCCGATGAACCATCTGGTGAACTGCATCCCAATCATCACAAATACTGCAGTAGACCTATTGGAACCCACATGGACCCAAGATTCTCACAAAAATCAGTCAAGTTTAGTGAAGGAAAAATCATGGTTTCGCACTTTCTTTATTGATAAGTTATTTAAAGTCCTGCAGAGATGTATGGATGCAGTCCTCCAGGCTCATGGGAGTCATACACAATATTCATTATTTTTCCACTGCAGCATGACTTTATATTTTATACTCTACATTATTTCTGTAAAGTGACAAGACTTTTGTTTTAGCAAAGTCAGACCTTACTGTCCTTATTAAATAAATAAAAATCAAGGCATGATTATATTTTAGTTTGGTAAAATAAGCGTAATCTAGAGGCCTTTGCTTTTCATATAAGCCACTTCAGATACCAAATGATCAACTAGAAGTCAATTATTATTTCTTGTTCCTAAAAGTTGGATAGGCGAAATCAAGTTTTAATCCTTTAATTAAACACAAAGTTCTTTAAAATTAATTTATGCATGTCATCAAAATAAAAACAGACCCAACTGAGTAATAAGAAGTTGGAAGAAGTTTTTTGTTGTTATCATGGTTTTTGTTGTTATCATTATCAAGCTTAGAAACTCAATGCAATTTTAATAAACCCCTTTGCATTCACAAACTGTGTTACCTGGTGAGGCATTTGACATCATCATCAGCAGCCTGGTTGGAGGTTCCCATCACCCAGTCTGTCAGATACTCGACCATCTTATTCCTGAGACACACACACAAATCTGATGAATAAAACACACCAAATAATCTGACAGTACTAAAAAAACAACAACAAAGAATACAGTACCTGAACTTCATCTCCTGGCAGAAGGAAAGATCATCTCTGCGCTCCATCATGACCTCCACCAGCTGACACAATTTGGTTTTAATCTGAATGGCATGAACCATGTTGCCAAGAATACGCACATACCTGAATATGCACACAAAAACAGAGTGGTTTAAACACACAGGAACCAGTACTAAGGATAACAAATGTGAACTCTTGTCAAATAAGCAAAAAAAAAAAAAAAGAAAACAATGTATACTTAATGTCATAATATCATTGCAAATTAAAATTATTTATAAATTACAAAATTATTTATAAATAAGCTTCTATTTAGGCCATCATTTTATGGGCAAAATATATTTCTAACTGTAATGTTTAGATTATTTCACATTTCTTTTGTAAAAAAAAACAAACAAACAAACAAACAAACATTTGATGTAAAGATGTGTGTATTTTTATAAACATAGTATACACAACATTTACAATGTTCACATTCACAAATTCATAAACAAAAATATAAAAAATGATAATAGATACATTATAATAATAAATAAATAATAGTGACAGCTTAAAAAATATATATTACATTACATTAAAAAAGAAATGTAGATAAATAAATAAATAAACTCCAATATACATTAACTACAACAAAGCCCCTGACAGCATTTAAAGATCAAGTATGTTTCGATTAACTCTCTGGCCTGTTGGAAAATATCTGATTTCAACTGCAAATCTGCAGTCATTTTCTAAAATAAACATATGTTTCAGCCTCTGTGTCCATTCTGTCAAAGGAGGTTGGTGGTTCACTGCAATTATCTTCCTAGCTGTTATTAATAATATGTAGTGCAGAAAGTAGTGTAGAAAGCCATCAAGCAAAAAACAAAACAAAAACAAAAAACACTGGGTGCACTGGTATGTCATATCCTAAAACTTTACTAAACTTCCTTTTAACTTCCTGCCAATACATTTGTGTTTTGGGACATTCCCAAAATATGTAAACATTGTTCCCCACTTCTCCTCAATCTCTCCAGCACTGTGATAACTGTAAAGAACTATTGAATTTGGCGACCACTAATGGAACTCTAAACAACCTCTGAACAACCAGTCGAACTCCTTCCATTTTTGACAGCTTATACCCTTATGACAATCCATGCATATTTGTTCCCACATTTCATCCTCTATTACAGTGTTTACCTCTAATTCACAATTTCTTTTGATATAATAAGAGTCGGCAGATTTATCCTGCATTAATTCTCTATATAAATGGGCTAATTGATTTTTAGTAGGCAGACCATGTTCAATAATTAGGTATGGGCTGGTGTAAGATTCTGACGGTATGATAACCTTGGATATAAATATCCCGGTTTCACGGTATTGATTATCTAAAATATATTCTTTTTAAATGTCTGGGTAAAAAACAAAACCTTTTACCAATTTGCACACAAATATATTTTCATTTTATTTTTTTATTTTGGGCAATAAACATGTCATGCTAAATAATTCAAAAGAATCATTGACGTCTACTGTGCTCATTTGTTTCAAACACACAGAATTTTTTTTACAAGTCAATACTGCATCTTTTGGGATTTTTCTGTTGCAGATGCTGCTTTAAATAAAAAAATATATATCCTACTCATACCTTAGGAACGGTATAGCAGAAAATTTTGATGGTTTTAAAATTTTGACTTTTCCAAACAGCGGTATACCTTGAACACGATTATCGTCCCATGCCTATCAATAATGATTACAAAATATGTTTCTATATTTGTTGAAGATCTTTTAATTATATGCCATTGTTTATGGCTTGTCATATAGTGTCGCAGTTGTAAATATCTAAAGAAATTATAAGATTTCAGTGTAAATCTGTTACACTGAGAAAAGTATATTAAGATATATTAGTTTATTAGGAAAAGGATATTAAGGTCTCCTCATCGTAAAGTATGTTTTAAAACATATAATAAATAATAAAGAAAAAAAAATAAATTTACAAACGTTAATTTCATTTATTATTTAAAAATAATTGACAGTTTATTCAGCTGGAGCAACCCCTGATAAAGCACGAAATAATGAAAGTAGAGGAAACGCAGTAAGTATTTAGATAATTATACAACTACATAAAAATTCAAGTTTGGGGATCGGTATGACTCTTTTTTTTATTTAGCAATGATGTCTTGAATGAATCAATAATGACAAAAAAAGTTGTTTATAATGTAGCAAAAAAAAAAAATCCCTTTAATTTTCCATTCACTAAGAATCCTGGAAAAAAAAGGATTCTACAAAATGTTAAGAACTTGTTTTCAGCATTGATTGCAAAAATTTAGAAACAAGAATGAATTCATGTTTCTTGATTAACAAATCAGCACATTAGAATGATTTATCAAAGATCAAGATTGAAGTAATGATGCTAATTGCAATAATGTTTCACAATATTAACATATTACGATATTTTTGACCAAATACATGTACCCTTGGATGAGTATAAGAGGTTTGCTTTTAATAATTGTAACTCTTACGGACAAAATTAAAAGGTGCTATAAACTTTTGTCTCTTCTAAAGCCTAAAATGCCATAATAAGTTTTCAAATATTTAAGAAACACACTAAGTGCATGTTTGTTTATCTGAAAAACAATGCTGAAGTCGGATATTCTCATTTGAAAATGTGAAGAAAAAAAAACGACAACGTTTTGAATTTGGACTGCAATACCTAGTTCAACCACTTGGTTTCAATCCTACATACTGCAGCTTTAAATTATACTAAAAATCTGAACTATTGGGTCCCACTTTATATTAAGAGGTCTTAACTACTAGTTACTTACATTATATTGTACATCACATGCTAAATTTCTCAAACTCTACTCAAAGAGGGCAGATAAATTATCACAAAGCATTGACAGCGAACAGAACAATTGACTCACCTGACCAGGTTGAGCATCATGGTCTCAATGCTGGCTTGACCCAGATGCTCCGAGCTACCTTCTGTATGGTTGTCCAGAAGGTTCTTCATGATGGCGATGGTCTGCTCCACAAACTGTGTGTTGGTCTCATTAATTGGCACCTTAACATAAGTACACAGAAACAGGAGCTCTAAATCATCCAGCTCAAAATATATATAGGTACATTAGGGGTGTGCAGTATTTATACGATTGTATTAACAATGTGGAGAGCCAACATTACCCACTTTAAACTCAAAAGCAAACCAAAAATGGCTCAAAAACATTTTTGAACAAATCAAGTGAGTGATAATGAATCAACTGTCTGTTCATAAGGTCAACAGCTTTGTTTGAAAATGATTTAACTGTTATGAACGATATTTACCCATGACAAGCATAAACTAGCCAAGGTGCCATTGCAAATCATAAATTATCAATCAATCTAATTAAACACTTATAAAGACTTTTCTTTTTTAATTGCTGAACGAATCAGTGATTTTGAACAATTCTCTTGAATTAACAATTAAATTCAATTACAGACTCCACTTGCTTAATTACTGGAGGAATCTGAGTTTTTGAACAATTCTCTTAAATGAATGTTTCACAATAACTTACAGATAAAGGCTTCACTTGCCTAATCACTGAATGCATCAGTGTCTTTGAACAATACTCTTGTTTGAATAAATGATTCAGTGACTCCCCAAAATATGTCACCTACCTAATTACTAAATGAATCAGTGTTTTGAACAACTTTTTTGAATAAATGATTCAATGATACACCAATAAAGATTTCACTTGCTTAATTACTGGATGAATTTGTGCTTTTGAACAATTCTCTTGAATCAACGATTCAATTACACAGCCTCCACTTGCTTAATTACTGGATGACTCAGCCTTCTTATAAAATTCTCTCGAATAAATGATTCAGTGACTCAGCCATAAAACCTACTAGATACTAGATAAATTGTCAATATTTAATGTTTTTTTACTGTGAAATGTAACCAGGTACTGGTGATGATGTGTCACAATCACCAGTGATCTAGCAGTTGCAGATCACTGGAGAACTACAAATCTGCCACAGAAATCAACTACACATCCCTTCATGCACCTCACACACACACCAGTTCCATATCACGCTTGATTACTCACACGCAGCGGGAAACTCATCTTGGACTGATTATCTGGATTATATATATTCTTGTCTATATATATATTGTCTTGTCGTTCTATAGCATTATGAACCATTAATCTTGTCTAGTCTCTGTGTTCTGATACTTGCCTTGTTTTGCCATTGTGGATTCTTTGCCGCCTGTACTGACCCTTCACCTATTTTTGACCATGATCTTGGATTACCTTTGTGCTCCTGTTTGACCGTTGCCTGCCTGAACACTCTTATTAATAAACTGAGTGTGGATCTTCATATCCGTTGTACCCCAATTCCCTCTGTTAAGGGTATGTAACTGATAAAATCTTTATTTTAAGCGCCAAAAAACTCAGGCTGAATTTACTGTGTTATAATTTTTTTAAGTAGTATTATGATTGCATGGGTGTTTAAATCGAGATCTTTTACCAATTATTCCTGCAGCTATAATTGGAAGTGACAGTCTCACCGGCCCCTGGGCATCAAAGAATCTGCTGATGCTGTTCTTGAGTTTGTTGAAGAGCATTGGGTAAAGCACTGGACTGAGCTCCAGCCCCACCAGGTCTTTGACATTAGTGCGGATCTGATGGCCTTTTTCGTGACTGCACACCATCAGGGACAGAAGACGGTCCAGAAAGCGGCCGAGAGGTGTCTCTGGGCTGCCCTCACAAGAGCTCATCGACACCATCGAGCCCTTGCGGTCATTCAGGGTGCCCATAGGAGGACTGTAGGTGGCCAGAGCTGACACATGCCTCTGCTGCAAACACACACCGCCCAACGCACACAAGAAGCCTGTCATATTGATCCATTCCTGAGGGAAGAGACAAGCGAGATTGGAAACCTGTAAATATTTCACTGTTAAACATTCTTCTTATTTATTTATAATATTAATAAAATTAATATTTTATATTACATACACACACCTCATTCCTATAACACAATTATATTAAACTGTACAAAAATGTTTAGCAAACAAAGTACAGATATTAACAAAAAAAAGTACGGACATAATTTATTTAAAAATCTAAATTTCTCACATTAATTTTTTTAAATAATAAATATATTTATAGTTATGTTATTTACACACACTGTATAATCCTTGGTATTTTATATTTTAAATATAAAACGATATGTTTTTGTTATTTTAATAAAATTCTATATTCAATGAACGCAAATATAAATTTGTGTATTTTTATATTTATATATTTATATCTTTAAAACATTGCATTTTTTATTTTCTCTCAAATATTTCAGATTTTTTGAAACTGAATCCTTGTCTTATTTAACTTTTATTATGAAGCAAAACTTTTATTTATTAAACTCTTCAGTTAATGGAATTAAAAATAATATAAACAAAATATATATTACATATAATATATTAAAATAATATAATACAACATATAGAAAAAAACAACTATTTATAAATCATGTATATGTGGGATATATTATAATTTATTAATAAAATTACATGGATGGAAGGAAGAAAGGAAGGAATGGATAGAAGAATGAAATAGATGGATAAAAAAGAAATGGGACTCGATAGAATGGATAAACGGAATAGGACTGGATGAAATGGGATTAGATGGAATGAGATTGGAATCAGAATGGAATAGAATTGGGTTGGATGGATGGAAAGGAATGGGATTGTATGGATAGATGAATGGATGGAATAAAATGGGATTGGATCGATGGATGGATGGAATGAAATGGAATGGAATTGGATGAATGGAATTGGATTGGATGGAATGGGATTGGATGGATGGATGGCATGAAAGAAGGAAGAAAAGACAAAGGGAAGAAAGGATTGGATGGATTGTGTGTGTTATATTGTATATTTTTTTAAGAAAATGACAAATATTTATTTTCCATTGTGTCTATTTACAGGTTTTGCATGTATACGTGTCTGACCTGACCGTCTTCCAGTTTCGTTTTCGGGTGACTTAAAATCAACTTGGTTGCATGTTCCCATTTGGCATGCGTGTCTTCCCAGGCCTGAAATGACCAATCAGAACAGTTAAATTCTGCCATCTTTATTGACTCTCTCTCTCAATTAGACCACAAAAGAAAAGTTCATTTTTAGGCAAACAATAGAAACAGCACAGCGAGTACTCAACTGTGAAAACCAACCACATTGTTTGGAAAACAAATCAAGTTTTTGCATATGTTAAAAAGCCCAATTCAAAACAGTGACGTTAAAGGGATAGTTCAAACACAAACATTAAAATTGTCATCATTTACACACCTTCCACTTGTTCCAAACCTGTTTGCATTTTTATCTTCGACTAAACATAAGAGATGATTTTTAAAGAATGTTGTAAAACCGTAGTCATTAGGAAAATTTCCATCCATGCATTTTTTACAGGCATAAACAAATGATTCATAAGCTAAATAGGCCGTAGTGTATGAGTGTGAAAGAGTGTGTATGCATGTTTTCCATTTCGGGTTGCAGCTGGAAGGGCATCTGCAGTTTAAAACATATGCTGGATAAGTTGGCGGTTCATTCCACTGTGGTGACCCCTGATGAATAAAGGGACTAAGCCGAATGAATGTATTACTTGATATATATATAATTTATATATATATATATATATATATATATATATATATATATATATATATATATATATATATATATATATAAACATGATTTTTTAAGAAACATGTGCCTTCCTAAGAAAAACACATTAAGAAATGTTTGTCTTCATAAAAAAAAAGCATTACAAGAAGGGTGGAAGCAAAGGAAAGAAGATAACAACTGATCTCAGGCTAGTCTCTGTGTGACACTCTGCAGCAACCCGTGTGTCCTGAATGACTGTTGGACCTGTTCTTTGCAAAAAATAAAATCTTTTTGGAAGTAAATTTTGTAAGGCTTTGTGTCTTGATCAGTAAGTGTCTCTTTATTGGAAAATTGCCACGACACTATTGACTTTCATAATATTTTTCCATACTATTGTTTACAACTATGAATGAAAATGGCTGCCTGTTCCCAACATTATTTAAAAAAATCTTGTCTTCAGTCAAAACAAACAAATAAATAATTATATAAAATGGACCACAAGAACGATGAGTAAATGATGACACAATTTTCTTTTTTGGTTCAAACTTTCTTTAAATAAAACAATCAGAACAATGCTAATGTGCTCGCCAGCAACTAGAACGACTCTAAAGCTGTCTAACGACATTAAAAACTGTGAAAGTGAGACCTCTGACCTCTGTGTTTCCAGGAGTGGGAAGTTCAATCTTCCGAAGCAAAGCCATTACTCTCTTCTGTAGAGCTGAACGACCTAGAAATAAAAACAAGCATATCACATACACTAATACTGGCAGACTTGGTTAATATTAGCAAAAAAATGTTAGTAAAAAAAAAACTTTTTATTGTTTAACAATGAGTTTTGCTTAAAATGTCTTCAGTTGAAGATTAAATGATTAGCCCTCCTGTCAAACTTGAATTCTTTTTCAAATATTTTCCAAGTACTGTTTAAATGGATAGACATTTTTTTCAGAACAATAGTTTAATAACAAATTTTAATAAATTGATTTTGACTTTGACATAATGGCAGTGCATAATATTTTACTAGTTATTTATTATGATACTAGTATTTGGCTTAAAGTGACATTAAAAGAGTTAACAAGGCACGTAAGGGTAATTAGGCAAGTCATTGGACAGCAGTGATATGTTCTTTAGACAATCGAAAATTATTTAAGGGGGTTAATAATATTAACTAACCCTGAACAATATATCGTTTGAGCATCTGTTGGAGCCATTTCTTTATTTTATTATTATTATTTATTATTATTATTATTATGTTTGGAATAAATGGGTTGATAGGATGATATGATTACTGTTAATATTATTAAGTTTATATTTGATAATTATTGTATTCACGTTTGAGTATTTGCTTTGCTTTTACCTAATATTACTTTTTAATATTTACAATTTATTTGTAATAAAAACAACACAAGTAGCAATAAAAACAGTAATCAATAAATACTCTTTATTAAAGTTTTCCCTCTAATTTAATTGTAAGCTCCACCCAGTTAGTCCAATGAAGGTGTCCACTGGTGGATGAAGGTTCATTGCCTGTTCGGTCTTTTCAGTGCACAATGTTGATTTACTTAAAATTTAACTCATATCTGACTCCAATTTAAATATGAGAATATTAATATATTAATCTTTTGTTTTATCTGACTCCAATCATAAAACATTAAGAAGATTATAACAATATATAATTTAGATAAATGTTCGAACCTTTTATCTTCACTCGTAACTATTACATTTGTTCATTCGGGTGCTCACGTCTGCGAATAACAGATGAAATCTTGTGGTCCCCGAACCGGACCCCTCCAGCCCAAGGCTGCGCCTTGAAATTCTGTCCATAAAAATTATGAATAGAATTGGTGACAAGGGGCAGCCCTGCCGGAGTCCAACATGCACTGGAAACAAATCGGACTTATTGCCGGCAATGTAAACCAGACTTCTACTCTGTTCATACAGGGACAAGACGGCCCTCAACCGATCGCCTCTGACCCCATACTCCCCGAGCACCCTCCACAGAATGCCACGAGGAACACGATCGAATGCCTTCTCCAAGTCCACAAAACACATGTGGACTGGTTGAGCATTCTTCCATAAACCCTCGAGCACCCTGGTGAGGGTATAGAGACGGTCCAATGTACCACGGCCCGGACAAAAAAACGCATTGTTCCTCCTGAATCCTAGGTTTAACCATTTTTTATTCCAGCAAAACTAAAAACATAAGACTTTATTGAGAAGAAAAATTTCACAGGAAATATAGTGAAAAATATGCTTGCTAGGAACCAGGAATTAAAATTTAAATTAAGTTTATCAATTTAACATTTCATTCAAATTCTAAAACATTCTCTAGTAAAATCATAATACACTTTTCCTTGAGTGAGAGTCTAAATGAGACTTTGGTAATATTTTCATTTTTAATCCTAACACAAAAGATTAAAAGGTTAATCAATGGAAACATTAGCATATATTATATAGTAGCAATAGAGCTCATATTCAGCAAGTGTGTCAATATTAGTGAATGCAGTTGTAATGTGCTGCCCTCTGCTGGAGCCAATAGCAAAAACATTACTCCTAAATGTGAAGACAGCTGAGTTTGATGAAACAGACCTGTGACCATCATGTTACTGACAGAGGCAAACTCCATGAAGGTGTTGTAGTTTGGCAGAAGAGACTGCACTGGGATGTCTTCAACACCGCACCGGATTTCTGCCTCCTCACACAGGTAACGGAAACAGGACATGGCCACTAGAACGGCCTCCATGTCTGGACTCCACAGGAACATGTAGAGACAGACCTCCAGCTTGGTCTGAGCCTGCCGGCAGGTAGCAATGTTGCTGCCCACTGTGGCCCGATCCTTATAACAAAAACACAATAGATACAAGAAAAAATAAAGTATGTATTTAAATAAGTTTATGCTTTATTTACATTTTTTTAAAGATTTTTTTTTGCCTTTTTTGCCTTTATTACATAGTACAGTATTTAGACAGGAAGCAAAGTTGGAGAGAGAGAGGGGGGGGTAGGGTAGGGAAATGTCCTCGAGCTGGGATTCGAACTCGGGACGCCCTTTAATGACATTTTTTAATAAAAAAAACACTAGTGCATAACGTGCCATATTGTTATGATCAAGGTCACTTCCTTTTTATACACTTTATCCATCTTATTGTCCCCTTTTTTCTTTTTAAATTATTATTATTATTATATAATACACTTTATTTAAAGCGTCTTTCAACAAAAGTTAATGTACAACATATATATATATATATATACAATTTAATATTTAAAAAAATAAATTGAAAGTACAAAAATAGGGAAGATAAGTTACTTTGAAGAGATGAGTTTTAAGTGTGGATTTGAACAAAGGGAGAGCGCTCAATGTTGCAGATGTCAGATGGAAAAGAATTCCAGTGTTTGGGATGCAGGGTGACTAAAATCTCTGCTACCCATCGCGCTGAGACAGGAAGAGAGGACAGAGAGGTGGATGAAGAAGAAGGATCTAAGGGAGCGGGAATGAGTGGTGATATAGAGGAGATGAGATATATAAGGTGGTGCGAGGTCATAAATTGCCTTAAATGTTTGTAGGAGGATATTATATTCAACTCTGGGTTTGATTGGAAGCCAGTGCAGATCTTGATATTGAATTTACAAAAAATGTTGCCAAGTGGAAGGAGATAGATTAAGAAAATAATGAGCGAGTGCTGGCTCACCTTATTCCTTAGAAGAAACTTGTTTCTGCAGATGAGAATCTCTCTCAGCCATTTCAGAATCTCAGTACTGCTAACCAGCGGATGACCAAACAGATTCTTACAGATGAAGTAAAGCACCTGAGAACTGAACCCACAACAAACGATCTCGATCAGTCATCGAGTGAGATTCATTTCCGTCCACATCTGTGAACTGGACTCTACCTGATGTCCCAGAAGGTCTCCATAGGGGCATCCGGGTTCCACAGCTCAATGCTTTCAGGCTGATGCAGGACCAGCAGAGCCTGACAAACAGATGACGATACATAACTCACAGTTAACACAATGAAACTGAAATTTCTGACTTTGATACTATACCTTAAAAATATATTGATATTCCACAAGGAAATTATTTAAAAATCGCAACATTCATGCGAGCACTCCTTTTATTCATTTGCCAGAGCTAAAACCTTGGCTTACTGTGGATTCCATTAGGATAGGCTCAACTCTATGCCATAATGCCTTTGGAGGGTCCCTCTGAAGGGATTAGGGAATAGAAATGAGTCCTTTCAAATTGAGTACAGTGTGTGACACCAAACAACTTTCCAACTCAAAGGATCATGGCCGAAGAGTCCATCAGTTGCATTTTCCAAAATCCTTTATTCCAAAGGGCCCTTCAAAGTGGCTAGTTTTGAGCACTTCATTAGGCCATTATTTTTTTCACTCTAAAGAACCCTATGGAAGATGATATGTCCCGTTTGGAAGGCACCGTCAATGTAAAGGATTTGTACTACTGGTCCAGTAAGGACAGTTGTTCAGATTTTCCCATTCCCAGTGAAACTTTACATTAGATTGGATGAACGTAATGTATGGTAATGGAGGGAAAAAAGGGATGGATGGATGGATGAAACTGAATGGGATTGGATGGAATGAGACTGAATTGGATAGAATGGGATTAGATGGATGGATGGATGGATGGAAGGGATGGATGGATGAAAAAGGAAAGGATGGATGGAAGAAAGGAATAGATGGATAGGATGGGATGGAATGGGGTTGGATGGAAAAAAGGAATGAATGGATGAAATTGAAATGGGATTGGAAAAGGATTGGATTGGGATGGATGGATGGATGGATGGAATGAATGAATGAAATTGGAATGTGAATGGGATTGGATGGATGGAAGAAAGGAATGAAGAAATAAATGGATGGATGAAAGAAAGGAATGTATAGATGGGATAGGATGGAATGAATGGATGGAATGGGATTGGGTGGATGGAAGGAAGAAAAAGGAATGGATGGATGGAAGAAAAGAAAGGAATGTATGTAGAAAAAATGGATGGATAGAATGAGATTGCAATTAGATTGCAATTAAATGGGATTGGATGGATGGATGGAATGAAATGGGATTGGACGGATGAATGGATTAATAGATGGAAGGAAGGAATGGATGGATGGAATGTATAGAAGTAAAGAAGGAATGGATAGAAAAATAACTGACACGGATAGAGAGAGACAAACAATTGAAAGGTGTAAAGTAGGCAGTAGGTAGTTTTGTACATTATATTGCCCATTTTTGCCTATTTTTAGTAGACGGCATCACAATGAAAATCTGGATAAATAAACAAAGTAAAAGTGGACAAACAAAGTGAAGTGCAGCAAGTTTCAGTAGTGCTGTCAACTGATACAGCATTGTTTGAAATATTTCAGGATCATTGTGTATCAAAATATTGATGCTATTGACAACAGACTCACAAAAACTACAGAGATAAAGAGAGATAAAGTCCTCACCTCCATGGCCTCCTGGGAAATCTCTCCCATGTTAGCAAGAGGCACGAGCTGGACGAGGCCTGTGATGAGCTCTGCTGTGCTGCTGTGAACCTCCAGACCTTGTTTTCCTGGATTCTGAATCACAAACACACCAACCAGACAGTTAAAGCCCAGAAGCAGTATTAAATGTAAGCCAGAGAAGCTTCATCATCCTCACTCACATGGAGCATCAGTTTGGGATCCGCATGTATGAGTTTCACCAGAGCCAAGAGCAGATACTTCAGACTCCTGGTGTCCAGATCAGTGGTTTTCTCTTTAAACTTCAGACTGCTCATTTTCTCCTTAAACGTCAAACTCTGAGAAGACAGACAGAAGAAGGTTTACCAAATCGACCAAGAGTGACATACTGAAAATCTTTTTTTCTAAAGTTTGCCATAGAAATATTTGAACATATTGGAATAGTTTCGGAAGGATCATGTGCCTCTGAAAAGTGGAGTTTCTTCACAGGAATACATTACATTTCACTTATTCATTTTCCTTCAGCTTAGTCCCTTTTTTAATCAGGGGTTGCCACAGCGGAATGAACCGCTAACTATTCCAGCATATGTTTTACACAGCGGATGTCGTTCCAGCTGCAACCCAGTACTAGGAAACACCCATACACTCTTGCATTCATACACCCACTCATACACTTTGGCCAATTTAGTTAATCCAAATTACCTATAACGCATGTCTATGGGCTGTGAGAGAAACTGTGCGGAGCAAAACAAATTGTTACAAATCATTATGCCTTTGTAACAGTTAAAATAAAAATGAGGTTAATAAAATTGTTCAGAAAATGTACATAGAAAAACATTTAAATACTATCATTCAACCACATTTATATATTCTGAAACTTTGTTATCGATGTAAATTTGTACAATTAAACAAAATAAAAATAAAAAATACAATTAAAATCAAAAGGGAGAATGCAACTAATAAATAAATAAAAGGCAAGATGTTAAGAGACAAAGTAAATAATACAACACTGCCACTTTATAAATAAATTACTTAAACATTTAATCTTTTCCAACTTTGAAAGAAAAAAAAACTTAGCTGGATTAATTATATACACTCACCGAACACTATATTAGGTACACCTGTCCAAATGCTCGTTAATGCAAATTTCTAATCAGCCAATCACATGGCAGCAACTCAATGCATTTAGGCATGTAGACATGCTCAAGACGATCTGCCGCAGTTCAAACTGAGCATCAGAATAAGGAGGAAAGGGGATTTAAGTGACTTTGAACGTGGCATGGTTGTTGGTGCCAGACGGGCTGGTCTGAGTATTTCAGAAACTGCTGATCTACTGGGATTTTCACGCACAACCATCTCTAGAGTTTTACAGAGAATGGTCCGAAAAAAAGTAAATATTCAGTGAGCGGCAGTTCTGTGGGCGCAAATGCCTTGTTGATGCCAGAGGTCAGAGGAGAATGGCCAGAAAGGCAACAGTAGCTCAAATAACCACTCGTTACAACCGAGTTCTGCAGAAGAGCATCTCTGAAAGCACAACACGTCCAACCTTGAGGCGGATGGGCTACAGAAGCAGAAGACCACACTGGGTGCCACTCCTGTCAGCTAAGAACAGGTAAATGAGGCTACAATTCGCACAGGCTTAACAAAATTAAACAATAGAAGATTGAAAAACATTGCCTGGTCTGATGAGACTCGATTATGCTGTGACATTCGGATGGTAGGGTCAGAATTTGGTGTCAACAACATGAAAGCATGGATCCATCCTGCCTTGTATCAACAGTTCAGGCTGGTGGTGGTGCTGTAATAGTGTGGGGGTATTTTCTTGGCACATTTTGGGCCCATTAGTACCAACTGAGCATTGTGTCAACACCACAGCCTAGCTGAGTATTGTTGCGGACCACGCCCATGCCTTTATGACCTCAGTGTACCCATCTTCTGATGGCTACTTCCAGCAGGAGGAATATTTCCAGTACCTTGTTGAATTTATGCCACGAAGGATTAAGGCAGTACTGAAGGCAAAAGCGGGTCCAACCCGGTACTAATAAGGTGTACCTAATAAAGTGGCCACTTAGTGTATACTGTACAGAAGTCACAAGTGTCTGAGTATATTTGCATTTTTCTATATTTATTTGTATAGTTTTGCCCATTACTATTTGCTCAGCAAGTTTTTTTCCTCCCTCTGTCTATATATATAGCTTTATTTGCTTAATAATAAATAAAATTGTAGATTTTTTAAATCTAATTTGTCTCTCTGAAAAATTATGAAACTAAAATTGACCATTAAAACTGCTGAAATACAGCACTGTTTTCTCAACAGATGCAACAGCTTCATACTTCAAGTTTAAACGTATGCAGTTCCAGTTTGTCCATAGAATTTAATTCAGTTCTATCTGTATAGCACTTTTCGTTGTTACCATTACATTAGTTACCATTACTTTATTAGTTACTAATAACTTTAACTAAATAACTAGTGACTAATATCTTTTAACAGTTAAAGTAATTATATATAAACATAGTTAACCTGCAGTTATGTTGTATATAGGTGATGTCATTGTGTACATGTTTAATGAAGTGTATTCATGAATTAATGTATAGGTTAGGGTGGCATCATCATATATATCAGTATATTACATCTAAAATGAATCCATCAGCCTTCTACAGTTTGCGTTGGTTGTATGGTCTATGAGAGGTTTAGTGTGCGTCTCACCGGAGTCAATCGAAGCGTTGTGTGACTGCAGCCCTGCACCACTCGTCCCAGAGTCTCCGCAAACATGAGCCGTAGCTCTCCAGAATAACAGTACACTGTGTCGATCTTCGGCCACCAGTCCAGTGGAGACTACAACATGACGGAGGACACACACACACACACAAATTAATCAAACACCCTCAAATCACACATCCTATCTGTCTACAGTGAGCGCTTACATTAGTGATGATGCGGTGGAGAGAATTCACCAGCACGAAATGAAAGGTTGAAGGGGAGGACGAGGCCAAACACACCTGACAAAGACAAATAGAAATCAAGAGAGATCTGGTAAAAGCGCTCTTTAGGTCAACTCATGTTCTTAGCACAGTGTGTAAACCTAACACAACCTTGCAGGTGTTGTAATTATTAATCTGAAAGAAATTGTAATTATGAATATATTGTATAACTAATATAAGTATATTCAACCTTACATTGAAAAATACAGTGCACTGATGTCAAGCAGTGTGCAAAACACAGCAAATGTCAGCTGTTATCATATAAGCGTCACATATTTTTTAAATATTATTATGTAATATATTTAATAATGCATATATTAGTGCCTGGCAAAATTTGCATCCAAATCAATGGGATTAATAACATCCAAAATAAACATTTGTTTTGACAATTTAAGTGTGTGTACCGCGTATATTTATTTTGGGTTTAAGGTTTGACTTGCACCCACTTTAAACTGCTGATTGTTGTGTGGGTTGATTCTGAAACAGGAGACGAAGCAGTCGATCATTAAGTCCAGGTCTGCACTCTGACTTCCTGCGCCTCTGGAAAACGGCTTAACTGGGTTAAACAGCAAACCCTGGAGACCAACAGAAAACCATCAATGTGGAAGACAGAATCCTTCAGACACAAAAGCTGCAGTGAATCACGAAGCTTGGGTTTCTCAAAGCATTTGTTCCTTTGGTAATATGAGCCTTTTCCAGCTCCATAGTGCCTCATCGATGAATCATTCCTTATTGCTGTAGAGTAAAACAACCCAGAAAAACTACCTACCGAAGAGCTGATATAAAATTTGTCAGATACTGTTAAAAATTTGCTTCATAATCAAAATTAGTCTCCCTGTGATGAAGATAAACTTGGAACTGGTTGATCTGGGCTTTATATTTCAACTAAAATCAAAAATGTCCCATACAGATTTGTGCTTGAGCCTGATTACAAACAGATACAGTTACAGGCATACTTTTAATTAAATTAGTTTCATAACAGCAGCCAAGTGTTTGAAATCACCTCTGGTTTTTTATGGATGATGTAAAGAACACAGATATGCTGCCACAATTATTATTTGTTTATTATCGTCATGTTGGATCGGTTTAAATTTTCTGAATAGTGCCAAAAAGTAAAATTTATTTTAGATTTGCTGGATTAAAAATATTTTTTTTATTTACATTTTTTATTTAAAATTATTTTTGGGCAATATTATTAGCCCCTTAAAAAAATAATATTTTTTGATTGGGTACAAATAAAACCACTGTCATCCAATAACTTTCCTAATTAGCCTAACTTGTCTAGTGAACTTAATTAAGCCTTTAAATTGCACTAATAATATCTTGCAAAATAACTATTCAAAATTTTATGTACTGTCAAAAACGAAACTGAATTAAATATATATTTTTTTTATTTCTTTTTTTAAAGACATAAATATAACTATTTAAAACTATTAGAAATTAGTAACATACAAATTAATAACAATATGATTAAAAATGTATTTTGAAATTGCACTTTTAGCTGAATAATATCTTGCGAAATAATTATTAAATTATTATGTACTGTCAAAAATGTATTTCTTTAAAAATTATAAAATAAAATAAAAACATCTATCTACCTAAAATAAGTGAACAAATAATTTTAAATATGTAATCATTTAAGAAAAATCTTTTTGTCTTTTTTAAGACAAAAAAAAATTAGCATCAGAAATTAATAACAATATTATTAAAAATGTCCAACTTTTATTTTGCAATTTTTGCTGTATAATATCTTGCAAAATTTATCAATTCATTAAATTTCTTTTAGGCTTAGTCCCTTTATTAATCAAGGTTCATCACAGCGGAACGAACCACCAACTCAACCAGCATATTTTTTTTTGCAGCGGATGCCCTTCCAGCTGCAACCCATCATAGTTTACCCAATTTATCTATAGTGTATGTCTTTGGGCTGTGGGGGAAACCAGAGCACCCGGAGGAAACCCACGCGAACATGGGGAGAACATGCAAACTCCACACAGAAATGTCAACTGACCCAGCCGAGGCTCAAACCAGCAACCTTTTTGCTGTGAGGTGACAGTGTTACCCACTGCGCCACCGCGCCGCCCCATCTTGCAAAATAACTTTTAAAATATTATGTACTGTCAATAACGAAATTAAATTTATTATTTTTTTATGATTAATTTTTAGACTTAAAAAATGTATTGAAAGTTATTGGTAACAGAAATTAATAACAATATGTTGAAACAACTAAACAGGGCTTTTAAAACCAACTACAATTTCCCAGATGGCTGATGATTTTGACTTGTATACGAATTATCATCATTGATGTCAGAAATAAGGGTTGGGTGATGTCGATCAATTTGGCATTGAAAGATGTCTAATGTGAAACATTGCGATGGACGATGACATCGTCATTGTAGGTGGTGGTGAATTAATTATTTATGAATTATGAATTAATTCGTAACGAATTAATTATTTGTAGCCTATCGTTTCAACTACCTGACCTGCTTGGTCCTTGTTTTACCCATAACCAAATCATAAACAAATAAAGATAAGTTACACACAAATTACCACCTGTCAATCACTTTTCCGCGGGACTCTGGCATGAATTGGCAGAGTGATCTGTGTCGTTATAATGGTTTCCACAAACTTGGTTGGTAAAAAGGTGCACAACCAGCAAGAAACACCAACAATAACTGAGGTTTTCATTAAAATTACAAAATGCAAACCTGAAAGCGAAAGATTGAAGCAGTGTATTGACGCTGTGACAAATTACCTGATAGATAGACAAAAGACGGAAGAGCCGTTAGATAGAGACAAGATAAATTAAATATCACGTTTAACAACTATAGTAAGATGCGATCCAGCGGTGCATCCTTGATAAACTTTCTGACATGCACTGTTCTCTGGGGTTTTGTGCTCAAAGCACCTGCTGACTGCTGGAGCTCAGACGCTGCAGGGCATGACAAAATGTGTGTGTGTGTGTATGTTTTCATTCTAAAATGCCATTTTAAATCTAAGACGTGTTAGTGTAAACGGGGTCTGACTGTGTTTTTCACGAACAGGTTGCTGCTGTGACGGGGGTGGGGTGTAGGATCGAGATGCCAGATCAACATCGTGATGTCTTTAGGCCATCAGCGATGGACGATGGCATCATTTATCGACCCAACCCTATCAGAAATGCAATAAATACCAGAATATAGTGATATATAGTCCAATAACGCCCCTCCCTAATTCATACCTTCAGGTCCATGACAATAGACTGCACCAGCAGGAAGATAACAGAGTGATCCTCCCAGCTGATGTATGTGGACGCTTTACACAGTTTAACGCAGGCGATGGCTGCGCTCTCTGTCAGCTGTTTGCTTCCACCGTGGCCAGTCAAAGCTTTCCGCAGATTCTCCAAAAACAGCTTCTACACAGGGAAAAACACATCCTTTGAATGGTTTACTTGTTTAATTCTACCATTTTACATCAAATGTGTCAAGAGTCTGTACATATGTGTTAGATATATTTATGTTTTCCTATTTTTTTTAAACTTTAACCAGTCCACATTAAAATGCTATTATATATATATATATATATATTAGGGATGTAACGGTATGGTAAATACCGTCATACCGCAATATTATTTTTTTTCGATATTACCGAAGTCGCATGACTCGATAAAACTATAGGTCTTCTGAGAAAATTTGCTTAGGCGAATGAAGCGAACGGGAGGTAGCGAAAACTACAATACCCATCAGCCCATGCTTGACCATCATCCCTTGCGGTCTGTTGTCGCTACAGATCCAGTAATGCGGAAATGGAGTGTGCTGCTAGAAGCGGGGATGAAAAGAGCTGGAAAACTCTAAGGCCCCGTTTACACTAATGCGTTTTAGTTTGAAAACGCTTAAGTTTTGCTACGGTTACGCCAACCGTCCACACTACGCCGGAGTTCTCGAGCGCCGAAAACGGAGCGTTTCGAAATGTGTGGATAATGTCTCAGTGTGGATAATGGAAAACGGAGACATCTAAAAACGGAGGCGGGGCTGCAGACGTTCGCCTCTCTGATTGGGGCTTTTCCTGAATATTAAGTAGCCTAACACGCACAGTTCAGTCCTGCATTCTCTCCGTGTAAGTTCAGACTTCGCAAGTTTGATCAAGGCTGCAGTCTCTTCTTCTCAGTTTGATATGGAAAAGCAGACTATACCGAGGACACGGGCAAATCTTCAAAGGGAACAGTGTACTTTATGACTTCATTCACATCACCCTGGCTTCGTTGTTTCACTTTATCAACAATAAAATGTAAACATGATTTAAGGAACTGCCTATTTTCATTTTAATATTAGCAACTTAGACAGCAGACATGTTGAGGCGTCGTGCTGCATAAGATGAGCGTCATCTTCACTGTGTGGATATTTATAACAAAACGGAGCCGATAACAACTGCCTCCTTTCAATTTCAGTGAAAATACGAAACACAGCCTCTCTTTTGCTGAGTATCAGTTTTAATAATCGATAATGGCCATTTTAAAAGTATAACATACAATAAGTTTATACATTATAGGAAATAAAGGCAAGCGATCAGTCAATATACAGAATGTACGTGGTTACATTAATCATTAACTTATCTTTGCGCTCAGCCAAAACACGTTACCTGAGAACAAGTAATAGATTCCAATGACCAAAGTCAGGGAATATGTCGTTAGATAAAGACAACAAGATAAATGAAATATCCCGTTTAATAAATATAGTGAGATTAGATCCAGCGGGAGATGCTTGATGAGAAGTCCGACTAGCAGAGCTCTCATCTGTGTAGATGGGCTGAGTGTGATTAAATGTTGAATGTGATGAGTTTTCAACAATACTAAATTAAAACTTTATTGTTTTTACATGGTTTAATAATTTTTTGTTATTAAAATTGAAGTTCCTGTTTCAAAGCTTACAGATTGATGGCTAATTTGTATGTCATTGACACTTTTGGCACTTTTTTGGAGTATTTTCGTAAGTTTTGTTTTTTCCTGTAAATGATTCAATAAATACCGTACCGTGACATTCATACCGAGGTATTACCGTACCGTGAAATTCTGATACCGTTACATCACTAATACATATATATATATATATATATATATATATATATATATTAATGGTTATCTATCATTGGATCATAACTGTATTCTATCAGTCGAGTGTGTGCACTTGCCTTGTTGTCTTTGGCGTCCTCTGCTGCATCTCTGGACATGTCTTGCGTGATATCAGGACAGAGGATGAGGAGGATGATCTGGAGAGGCCAAACAGCTGCTTTTCTCTTCGTGCTTTCGGCAAAACTGTCCACCAGATCAAACAGCTTTTCAGCACAGTCTGAAACACATAGTTTAGATTTAACATTCCCTCTTAAACACAGCAGTAATATGTTGTACAGTGGTGCTCTCGGTAAAAACACACCAGCCATGTCTGTTTGAGGCCTCTGGTACAGCCTGGTGAATTCATCAGGATAATTCTCCACCCAGTTCCAAAACGCCTGCAAACATCATTAAGTTAAAAAAAAGAGAGAGATAGAGAACAGTAGGTGGCAGAAAAGAGATTGTACTCAAAAAAACTAAGCAAATATTTGCTAAACAAAGCTCTAAAATATTTGTTTATTAATTATTTATATGCAAGAAGTTTCTTTGCTCATAAGAGCTCAAAAATCTAATGGATGTATTTGGATTTAAAAGATCAGAGATATTCAGGAGCCATTTTACTAAGAGATTTAAAAACAAACAATAACATGTTAAAGTCTATTCTGTACCGAACTGGCAACCAGAGAAGAGACCGTAGTATGGTAGAAACACAGTCAAATTTATATAGACATATTCGGATTCTAGGCTCTTTTATCATTTTCCATTATCCATGCTTCATAGGGACCCTAGAGAAAGCATATACAATGCAAACAGAGTGAGGGACAAAACAGAGCCCTGAGATATTCCAACATGTGGCTAAATGGCTAAATATAGCCGGATGAAGAAAAACTATTAATAAATGGCTTGTCAGTCCTACAATATTAATTAAATTTAATATAAATATCAATAATAAGGTATGAATTATAATACTTTTTATATTGTACTATATACTACCTGACAAAAGTCTTGTCGTCTATCTTCTACTTTTTAGTTGATCATTTGGTATCAGAAGTGGCTTATATGAAAGGCAAAGACCTCTAGATTACCCTTATTATACCAAAATAAAATATAATCATGCCTCGATTTTCAATTAATTAATTAGGACAGTAAGGTTTGACTTTGCTAAGACAAAAGTCTTATCACTTAACAGAAATAATGTCCAGTATTAAAAAGTATATTTACAGAATATAAAGTCATGCTTCAGTGGAGAAAGAATGAATATTGTGTATGACTCCCATGAGCTTGGAGGACTGCATCCATACATCTCTGCAGTGACTCAAATCACTTATTAATAAAGTCTTCTGGAATGGCAAAGAAAGCGCTCTTGCAGGACTCCCAGAGTTCCTCAAGACTCTTTGGATTCATTTTTAATGCCTTCTTCATCTTACCCCAGACATGCTCAATTATGTTCTTGTCTGGTGACTGGGCTGGCCAAAGCTGGAGCACCTTGACCTTCTTTGCTTTTAAGAACTTTGATGTGGAGGCTGAAGTATGAGGAGCGCTATCCTGCTGAAGAATTTGCCCTCTCCTGTGGTTTGTAATGTAATGGGCAGCACAAATGTCTTGATACCTCAGGCTGTTGATGTTGCCATCCACTCTGCAGATCTCTCGCACGCCCCCATACTGAATGTAACCTCAAACCATGATTTTTCCTTCACCAAACTTGACTGATTTCTGTGAGAATCATGGGTCTATGCGGGTTCCAATAGCTCTTCTGCTGTATTTGTGATGATTGGGATGCAGTTCAACAGGTGATTTATCTGAAAAATCTACCTTCTGACACGTTATTATTAATAATAATACGTTATTATTATCAAGTTATTATTTTTTGCTCTTACATCTGGGATCAACGACAAGATTTTTGTCAGCTAGTGTAGTACATAATACTTATATATTGTATTAATTATGAAATTAAATTGACAACTAAATTGTTATTTTGTCTGATAATTACAATAATAACACTTATAACAACAATAACAATAATAATACCAATTTCTCTCACCTTCTCTAAATTGAAGATGACACTTAACTGTGCCGGCTTCTTTAAGGCTTTAAATTTAAAGACAGTTTCTGCAACGAAAAAAGGATTTTATTTTTCACATTTAAAGAAAAACAGGCATTTAGCTGCTCTAAAAATGTGTCTATAGAGGACTAGTACTGATGTCCATCAAACCTTGGAGGAGGCGTTTGAGTTTACAGCCATCCACATTGATGTACTGAATGAGCTCAATGTCGTGCACGTCCACAGTATCTTCCGAGCAGACAGTCAGCTCCTGTAGCCTATAGACAGAGAAATATCCAGTCCATTACTAAAGCCTTGATTTAGGGGGTCTAAGATGATATGGCAGATCATCTTAGATCATCTTACGCATTTGTATCTAAAAACTTCATATCAATAACTTTTCTCTTTGAACCACCAGGTGGCAGTCTTTAAAGTTTTATTTCGGAGTGCAGATTGCAAAAGTTTTTAGTATTTTTTTGTATTATATATATATATATATATATGTATGTATATATATATGTATGTATATATATATATATATATATATATATATATATACATACATACATACATACATACATACATACATATACATACATACATACATACATACATACATACATACATACATACATACATACATACATACATACATACATACATACATACATACACACACTATTTTCCCAGTATAACTACTGTAAGAAATTATCAGCATTTGGTACATACTTTCAGTATTATCTTTGCTTGAACTGAACCAATCTAATCCTGTTTATATGAAATGAGCCTGCTCCCAAGCAGGTTTGAGCAACCAGAACTGTTGCTATGACAACAAGTCTTAGATGAGTTTTGAAGAACAAAACAATCCTGGATCGTGTCAAATCGTCATTATTTAAATCCAGCTAATTGAGTAATTTACATACGAAGAACGGACCCCAGGTTGTGTAAGATATTGTGATTGTTTTAAGATGATCTTTTTATGCTTACATAGTTAGTAAAACAAAAATTAAGGTATTTTACCTCCAAATCTTACTTAATAATGATCAGAGACATAATTTAAGACCAGCCTTTAAGTTTGCATATTAAAAAGGCTCAATAAATGACACTTATTCTTATTTTAGCTGTGGTATACTTATTTTAGCTATACTTGTTCTTTAGCGTCTGTTATGTTTTGTTGCAATAAGCTTCAGTATATTTTGAGATATTTTTGCATTGTAACTAATGTTTTTAATATTTTTTTTATTCTGTTTCCTCATTTTATGTTTCTTTTATTCTTGTTTATGTAAAGCAATTTGAATTACTATTGTGTATAAAATATGATATATAAACAAACTTGTCTAATGTCAAGTCTTAATTTGAATGACAATACGCATGTACAGTATGTGTGATCCTGCTTTATTTCATACAATAATCTTGTTTAAAGTTGAAATGATTTGCCAAAATATAATGACAAATGAGGAATTCTCCTGTTTTGTAAATCTAGTTAAGAGACATTATCACACAAAATAAGAAAAGCATACGGTTTAAAAAAGCTATTATCAAGCTATTTGGAAGATAAATAGACTAAATACATTATTCTTAATAATGTTGTATTACTTATATTACTAAGATAAGCAGATAATTAGTCTTGTTTCTAGTCTCTATTTTCTTAAATCATTCATATACTCATATTTAGACATATTTTAGAAGTGCATTCTCAGTATTTATCTGCACCTGGTGGAGATGCGGCTGAAGACGGCGTTGAAGTTACTGCAGCTCAGAGAGAACAGGACACCACAGGCGGAGCTCCTCAGCTCAGCCGCGTGCTGGTTTCCCTCACGATACGTGTGGATGAAATGACAGATCTCCGGCAACAGCTGCTTCACAAGCATCGTCTCGTCTAGACGCATGCTGTCTTTCGGTTGCTGGAGAGAAAAAGGACTATTGTGAAAACAAAAGTGAAATCTGAAAACAGATCCATTTACATGAGTGTGTCTCCGCTAAACAGATCCCTTGTTGTATGCAAGTTTATCTAGGTTACGTCGACTAATGTGTCAGATACACAACATTTTATTTATCGAATATCGTTATTTAGACAAACATGAGCTACACATCTTATTTGACATACAAATTATGTTATATGCAGGCTGCAAAACATCATAACAAGTGCAGAAGACCGGCTCTGTGAACACAATGTACGTATGTGGTTTAGACCTGTCCAGTTTCCTCTCGATGCATCCCAGACCACCTCCTGAAGTGGTCTGAACAATCGGATTTATATCTCGACTGCTTTCCAGAGGGCATTTACACCTGCCCATATCATGATCGACTGGCTCTCTAATGAGAAATAATGCATGAAGTGACCAGGTGTTAACAACCCCTTATCACTCACGATAACATCACTGACATTTAACAGCAGGTGACAAAAGAAAGGGCACTAATGTGAGTGTGTGCACACCAACACACACAAAAAACGCAAGGTATACATGCATAATTTTAAAAAGAAATCTAGGCCTAGGTCCCCAACCTTTTTATCACCACGGACCGGTCAACAATTGACAATTTTACCGAAGACTGGAGGGCGGGGGGGTTGCTTGCTGGCAGTGGTTCGTAGGTTGCTAGGTGACTTTGCTGTCACTCTGTTACAATTATTATTTTTTTTTGGACAAAATTACAAAGCATGTCAGTGTTTGGGTGGAGCCAGAGATAACTAGTCTACCGATATGTGTATATTCCATACAAAGTATGAAGCCGATTGGTCAGATCTTATTATGACTTGCGGTGCGTTCGCAGCATTCATTTAACTATGTGTGTCTGGAAGGCATGTGCGCAAGCGGCGTGATGCACATGTGCCGCACAACTCCATTATCAAATAACAAACTTGTTTTTTCTAGAATAAACGCAATATGCGAGGCCCCTAAAATTCCGCCCTCATTTGCAATCTCCAGCAGTTGATCTTCTTGCAAAGGGTTTGAAGACCACTCAGGGCTCAACAATAAGGACTGCCCGGTGGCCCGGGGCCAGCGTGTGAGATACTCGGGACAGTAGACAGGATCGTTACCGGCCCGATTGGGCCAGTGCTGCCTTGTCACTAAAGTTTAATTTGCCTGTGACTTTTTGTCAATTGTGTGCAAATACAGTCTTAGAATTGAGAAACAGTTTTTTCAAGCCTTCAAATAAGAAACAGTGTTTTCAAGCCTTCAAATGCTACCTTCTCGGTTCTTCTTATCTGATTGGATGTTGTGAGCACTTTTTTTTTCGTATCAACCAGTACAGCGAAGAGACTGCAACATGGCAGTAACATCAAATGATTATGTTAAATGGAAAACATTTGTTTCTAACGTTTTGAAAGCAGACATTTACGAGGGTACACCACGACTAAAAAAATTAAGTGATGTTTTGTACAGTTTGCCGTCAGTTTGGCAGGTCAGCCATCTTTTGTTTCAAAACACTTTGAAATTTTCTCATAATACATTTATTAACATTTTTAAATATTTAAACTCTAGATTTACAAACATTTTGACATGTTTTTTTTATTTTATTTGTGGTTAAGGAATAACTGTTAACTTTTTTTTTTTTTTTGGTGGGGCCAGTGAAAATATTGGCAGGGCTAGTAAAAATCTTAACCACTGGTCCAATTGGGCCAGTAGAAAAAATCCTTAGCGTTGAACCCTGCTACTGGTTTTAAGGATTGACACACTGCATTAAAAACTAGTCGACCAATGAGATAAAACTTTTGCTCATGCGTCTTGAGATGCTGAAGTTACAGTAAAACATCACTAGGTGTGCTCAAGCACAAAACGAACTAGCCGAACACACAGGAATTGCAGATTAAATAGGATTCGATGGCAAGTTTCATTTTAATAGGCTATATGCACCGGGACTTTTAATTTATCAGTAGGCCAGCTCAAGCGTTTGAACTGTCATGCCATTATAAAATGACCACATTTAAAATCTAATTTTTTTTTTAAATCAGTGATCTTCACTGCTTGACTTATATATGATATAAAGTAGTAGAGCTGCTCGATTATGGGAAAAATCAATCACGATTATTTTGGTCATAATTGTAATCACAATTATTCAAAACGATTATCAGCTGAAGTCAAAATTATTCGCCCCTTCTGAGAATTTATTTTTATATACAAATATTTCCCAAATTATGTTTAACAGAGCAATTTTTGACAGTATTTCCTATAATATTTTTTCTTCTGGAGAAAGGCTTATTTTTTTATTTCAGCTAGAAAAAAAATCAGGTTTAAATATTTTAAAACCTATTTTAATAGCTCAATATTATTAGCCCCCTTAAGCAATATACTTTGGATTGTCTGAAGAAGAAACTATTGTTACATAATGACTTGCCTATTTACTCTAATTAAGCCTTTATATGTCACTTTAAGCTGAATACTAGTATCTTGAAAAATATCTAATAAAATATAATGTGCTGTCATCATAGCAAAGATAAAAGAAATGAGTTATTAGAAATGAGTTATTAAATCTGTTCAAACTGTTTTAAGCATCTTCACTGTAAGAAAAAAAGTCCTTCAGTCAAGAGCAGTGAGTGGATTTTGTCCTTTTGTTGCTTGATTAATAATAAAAACAGCAGCAGGAATATCGCACGCTGTCACTTTAAAAATAGCACGGCTCCGATATGGTTTCTCTTTCACGTGTCTTTTGATTCTCAACTTGTTTGTTTATTACACAAATGAGGATTAATATTAATAACTACTAAACACCGTGCATGTATTTGACCATTAAAGCGCTCGCATAAGGATGGCGTTAGATGTGCGTGTGCTCTGCTGTCTGAGGCTAAGCGCGAACCGCGCGCACACAGACACACACACACAATACCTGTCCGAGGCTAAGCGCAGCGCGCACACACACAACAGTACGTGCTCTTTCGCGCTTTTAAAAATATGAATGATGCGCATCCAATGCTGCAAAAGTTACATTACAGCACATCTTTCAGTCACTTTCACGTGGAACTGGAAAGGAGGTGGTATATGATGGAATAATCGTTTATCTCGATTAATGGTTTTTCATAATCGTTATGAGCCGTAATCGAAATCGAAACCGGATTTTCGATTAATTGCACAGCCCTATAAAGTAGGTCTCAGACTAGACAACAAGCCCATTGCCCATTTAATTCCATTGTTCTGCGTCTTTAAAATACGGAAATTAATTTTTGAGGTTGAAGCAAATAAACTCCATTTAGTGTGTCTAATTAAAAGCAAATCAGCTTCTCACCCCTGCCAAGCACTTCTCCAATGTGTCCAAGATGATTAGCTGTGACAGGTAAAGATTCCTCTCTGCAGTATCTCCAAATATTCTCTGTAAAGAAGAGACGGTAAACAAGAGAAGAGTTAGCACTATCTACTACAGAGCTCCAGGTACAGACTAATCTTCAACAGTTTAGAGAAAATGCTCTCAATATCGTAGGCTTTGTACACAAACAATGGGTCTCATTCACTAATAACTGCGTACGCTTTTCGTATTCATACGCACGCTTGAAATTCTCACGAAAACTTTCCACCTAATTCACAAAATGCGAGTACGCACATGAGTTTGTTCTTAAACTCATTCTTCTGTTAGTGAAATTGAAGTGTTCTCAAGAAGCGTTCTCATGCACGTGATTAATAATTTGCATCATACCCACCTATGTCAGCTCATATAAGGGCTGTCCGCAAAGCGGCACATTTCCAGAGAAATTATACGACAAATTATGAATTAATAAGAGACAATTATGGCAATAAAACAAAAGAAAATAACTTTAATTATATTTAATGTAATCTAGTTACTTTTCATTCACACTCTAAATAACATTTCTAATTATATGTAGGGTTCTTCATACATTATTTTAAGGCCCAGGCGTACATGATTATTGCGTTTGTGTGGTATCAGTTGTTCTTCAAATTGTTTTGTAGTTTACAATAAATTTTAATACAAACTTTTTGATGAATCATGATTTATTTGTGTAAACATCCATACACATGGTTAGTGAACGAGACCTATTATTTTATTCAGCCATCATAATCATCCAGAAAGCATGGTGTAATGTAAATATAGGACATACAACAGTAACAGAAAATAACTAAATGTAGAAAGAAAACTATATTTTAGTATTTACTACACATTTAATTTAAATAAAAAAGTTCAAATAAACATTAAAGCACATCATTTTAAAATGTCTGCAGATTACAACAGATATTTTTAGCAAGAATACATTATGATTAAAAGTGACAGCAAACATGTTTGAGTTTAAATAGATACATTTTTTAATGTAATTTAAAAATATATTTTATTTTAAATAACTTTTTATTCATAAATGTATGCCAAAGCACTGGCAAAATAACAAGCAGAGACTGTTTTCAACAGTGATAATAATAAATAATTTGACATCACATTAGCTGTCAGAATTATTACTGAAGGATCGTGTGATAATGAAGATTGGAGAAATTATGCTAAAATATTCTACTTTGCCCAAACATTAATAATGGCCTGCATGGCTTTTAAACAGCAGTTTGCATATTACTAAATATTACTATTAACTCACCATGTTGTTGACGTTCTTCAGTATGTTGGTGAGTCCGCTGATGACCAGGGAGAATTTGTACCTGGAGATGTTGATCAGGCATTCCTTATTGTGTTCTGTGCTGATTTTAGTGTGTGTGTTTTGAACACCGACTTTCACAGGAAGCTAAAAAACAAAGCAAGAAGCAGAGTTGCACAGTGTTTCGGAACACATATATGCATTAAGAAGTTGTCAATCCACTTATAGAAGAAACACTCTCTAGATAACAGTAAAAAATGACTTATCAAAGGCTTCAGAATATATTCCAGACCTAGAACATACTGTATAAGTCATAAGAACAAGTCATAAGAACTTTGAGCTGTCAAATGCAGCTTGAGTCTAAAATTATTATTTATTATTAATAATTATTATTATTTCACAAATTAAAGGAAAATGAATGAATCAATATGATCTCATTCAAATAAGTAAAATTTCAAGAAAATATTTTAAAATGTAAAAAAAAAATTATAAAAATAAATAATAAAAATAATAACATTAGTCATTTTCATGCAGTCAGTGTATACACTGTAAATTAAAGAAAAGGTATTTTATTGTGCTATAGATATCATTATCAGAATATGAGATGTGAGATTATTTACACATCGTCCAGCCCTTTGGATTATCCAGAGCTTAGGCCCGGCTTAGCAAAAAAACACTCCTAATCTCTGCTAAACTTTAATCAAACAGCAATGATCCGTCACGGCCCACAAGCCAACAAACATCAAACATTTAAAAAAGACCTCTTCATTGCCTCCTGTCCCAACTGTAGACTGGATGGCCTGCATGACCAAAAAATGGCATCTCAATATCTTTTAGGGATTTTTTAATTAAATAAATAATTAAACAATTTTCTTTTTTTTCGGCACAGTGGTTTTGTGGTTAGCACTGGCGCCTCACAGCAAGAAGGTCACTCGTTTGAGACTGGCTGGGCCTGTTGGCATTTCTCTGTTGAGTTTGCATGCGCTATAGGTGAATTGGATTAACTAATTTGGTCGTAGTGTACGAGTGTGTGAATGTGAGAGTGTGTATGGCTGCTTTTCAGTACTGGGTTGCAGCTGAAAGGGCATCCGCTGCGAAAAACAGAATAGTCGCCGATTCATTCGTTCAATAGAGACTGAGCCGAAGAAAAATGAATGAATGAATGAATGAATGAATAAATGAATTGGATTTTTTCATAGGCATGTAACTGACACATATTAGATGAATTGGATCAACTTTTCTTCGTTTGGCCAATTTAACCTGTTCATAAACATCATATTTCTCTATATACTCGGTGTATGCTCTTAACTTTAATGTACTTAAATTTAAAGTACAACATGAGCAGCATGAGTAAATAATGACCCAACCGCATATAATATCAGCATCAATCTTTGTCTGACAGTCTGTTAGGTCTGTCAGTGTTTCTTTGGTGTCTGGTTGAATTTTAGTCAAAAACTTGCACACATTTCTGCAGTTAAAAGAGCTCAAAAAAGACGAAAATAAAACATACTGGTTTAACCATTCACAGGTTTTCAAGCGCCTCTGGTAAACAATGACTTTTTTATAACTACACTCTGTTTTATAAGTACAACTGCAGGTTTAAACCAAAAACGATTCATACTAAAGACAAAGTGTAATCAATGCATTAGTTATACATATAATACAAAGATAAGGCTGTATGATAATGGAAAAATCTAATTTTGCCCAATTTTATATTTCTGTAATAAATATAGCGATATGAATACAGTTTCACAATATATGGAAACTAGTCTCGGTCACATGAATTACCATTGTTATAGACTAAGTTAGGTCACCCAAACCCTGTCTTCACCCCAAAAACACACCAGAAATGACTGGACAATAACAAAGTTGCCTAATTATTGATCTACTTATTAATTAAACTAATATTTAGTTGACAGTCATTTTACTCCAGTTCTACTGAAATCCGTGGTTAGTAACTCTCCTGCCAGTATAGGAGTTGTTTATGTTGAAAAGACTGAGGTTTCAGGTTTAGTAGAAAATGCTGAGCAACACGTCCTTCTAAACTAGTCTCTGTCCAATGAATTATCGTTGTTATAGGCTAAGTTAAGTGACCCAATCCCTATCTTCACCCCAAAAAACACACCAGAAATGGCTGGTCAATAACACAGTTGCCCAATCACTAATCTATTAATCTATTTATGTATAATACTAATATTTAGTTGACAGTCATTTTACTCCAGTCCTACTAAAATCAGTGGTTAGTAACTCTCCTGTCAGTATAGGAGTTGTTTATGTTGATAAGACTGTGGTTTCAGGTTTATGATAGTAGATGATGCCGAGCAACACGACTAACTACACTAGTCTTTGTCACATGATTTACTGTTGTTATAGACTAAGTTAAGTTAAGAAAAAGGTCAATAGAGTAAGTCAAGTGAATCAATATCGTTACCCAGAACACACCAGAAATGACTGGACAATAACAAAATTGCTCATTCACTGATCTATTTATGTATAATACTAATATTTAGTTAAAAGTCATTTTACTCCAGTTCCACTAAAATCAATGGTTACTCTCCTGTCAGTATATGAGTTGTTTATGTTGATAAGACTGAGGTTTCAGGCTTTGTAGAGGATGCTGAGCAACATGACCAACTAAACTAGTCTTTGTACCATAAATTGTTGTTGTTATAGACTAAGTTAAGTGACCCAATCCCTATCTTCACCCCAAAAGACTCCAGAATGGCTGGTCAATGACAAAGTTGCCCAATTATTGATCTACTCATCTGTTTATGTATAATACTAATATTTAGTTGACAGTCATTTTACTCCTGTCCTACTGAAATCAGTGGTTAGTAACTCTCCTGTCAGTATAGGAGTTGTTTATGTTGATAAGACTGTGGCTTCAGGTTTATGATAGTAGATGATGCTGAGCAACACGACTAACTACACTAGTCTTTGTCACATGATTTACTGTTGTTATAGACTAAGTTAAGTTAAGAAAAAGGTCAATAGAGTAAGTTAAGTGGACACAGTAGTGACCCAAACCCTGTTCTCACACCAAAACAACAGAAATGACTGTTCAATAACAAAGTTGCTCATTCACTGATCTATTTATGTATAATACTAATATTTAGTTGATTCATTTTCCTCCAGTTCCACTAAAATCAATGGTTACTCTCCTGTCAGTATAGGAGTTGTTTATGTTGATAAGACTGAGGTTTCAGGCTTTGTAGAGGATGCTGAGCAACATGACCAACTAAACTAGTCTTTGTACCATAAATTGTTGTTGTTATAGACTAAGTTAAGTGACCCAATCCCTATCTTCACCCCAAAACACTCCAGAATGGCTGGTCAATGACAAAGTTGCCCAATTATTGATCTACTCATCTGTTTATGTATAATACTAATATTTAGTTGACAGTCATTTTACTCTAGTCCTACTGAAATCAGTGGTTAGTAACTCTCCTGTCATTATGGGAGTTGTTTATGTTGATAAGGCTGTGGTTCCAGGTTTAGGAGATGATGCTGAGCAACATGTCCTTCTAAACTACTCTCTGTCCCGTGTCTTCGCCGGCTTTGTGGGACATAAACATGGGAGCATCGGAAAGAGTGTGTTGAAAGCCTCATCCGTGCAGAGAGGTGTACATGAGCTCTGACCTGCTCGTCGAATCGGCTGATGACGGCCTGGACCCACTCCACGGGCTTCTGCGCCGCCATGGCCGCTCACGCCGATAGTGATGAAGAGGAGGATGATGAAGATGGTGAAGTGGAAAAGGAGAGGACGCCTCTACCGTGCTCCGCGAGCCCTGCGCTCCTCGAACCGCGCCGTGTTGAGGGCCGAACGCGGGCCGGCTCGGTGCTCGGTCTGGTCGGTGTCAGAAACAGCAGCATGCCGCCATGACAGTGCCGGAAGTTTGAATCCTCTGATCCAGCGAAGCAGCAACAGCAGCACAGCAGCGGTGCAGATGAGAGATGAGAGCACTACTGCGCATGCGCTGTAACCGAGAGCGCGAGTGAGTGAGAGACAGAGCGAAATGTTTACTTTGCTTTTAAACAAGTTTTTTTTTCTGTAGACAATGAAAAAAATATTGCTTAAGGGGTATAATAATATTGACCTGAAAAATATTGTGAAAATATTTCTTACTCCATTAAATATCCCTTGAGAAATTTTTGAAAAAGAATAAATATTTCACAGGAGGGTTAATGATTTTGCCTCAACTGTATATATATCGTGAATGTTGAAAAATACAGAGAGGTTTAATCCATTATGGCATTCCTTCTGGAAAAGACTTCAGTGAACCTCATTTTCAGCATGATTATGATCCGCTATTTGCAGTGAAATCCTAGTTGGAGAAAAAAAGCAGCTGATGAAACACAGACAGTCATGAAATGGCCTCTACAGGGTCCAGACCTGAATGATAGATCACCTGGACAGAAAAAAGAAAGATATGACACTTTAAATCTAAAGAACTCTGGAAAGTGCTAATTAATTCATAAAAATGTGTGTATATACATTATATACGTATATTATGTTGGTATTACACGTTATTGTTATTAATCCTTATATATAAGGAATATTGTGTATAATATTAATATTAGAGGGCATCACTGTGGCATAGTGGGTAGCCCAATTGCCTTACAGCTAGAGGGTCGCTAGTTCGAGCCTCTGCTGAGTATTTAACTGTAATATTTTACTGTATTTTAAAGTTGCATTGTGAAAATGCATAAAGTTGCATTGTGATTATAAAATGTTATTTTATATTAAAGATTTACCTAAAATTCTGTTGTCACATATACAGCAAGATAAATGGTGTTGTAAATGCAGTATTATTGTTGTAATTGACTTACAGTAGGTGACATGGTGGCTCAGTGGTTAGAATTGTCAACTCATAGCAAAAAGAGTCCCGGCTGGGTCAGTTGGCATTTCTGTGTGGAGTTTGCATGTTCTCCACGTGTTCACGTGGGTTTGCTCCGGGTGCTCCGGTTTCCCCCACAAGTCCAAAGACATGTGCTATAGGTGAAGTGGGTAAGCTAAATTGTCCATAGTGTATGTGTGTGAATGTGTGTATGGGTGTTTCCCAGTGATGGGTTGCAGCTGGTAGGGCATCCGCTGAATAAAACATATGCCGGCTAACATGGCGGTTCATCCCGCTGTGGCGACCCCAGATTAACAAAGGGACTAAGCTGAAAAAAAATATTAACGTATGAAGGAATATTAATACTGGAAATAACAGTTTAAATTACACAAATTCATTAACTCTGGAAAATTGATGGTCAGATAAAGATTGCATTTTCTTTTGCTTTTATGTTGTTTTAGTTGTTATTTTATTTGTATGTTGTTGTTCTATAAATCATTATTCTATATTTAATGCTGTACAATTTTATATAATATGCATTTCAGATGTGTTAAAGAATAGTTTTGCCAAAAAGACTTCTTCTCAAACTATAAATACATTAGAATTATGCACACACACACAAACACAAATGCACATATTTATATATTTATATATATTGTTCATCTATGTAAAGTTATTGTTTTCCTGTCAATAAATTAATACAATTGTTAATACATAATGTAATGCAAAAACAATAATAACATTTTGGACATGAAATTGAGAGAAAATTCTGCTTTCAGTTTCAGTGAAAGTGCAAGAATCTAATGTGCATAGATATGTACATGCAATTATTATAAATTATTATCATTTATTTATTGTAAGTAAATATTATTATTATTTATGATTAATAATATGTGTTATTACTATTATAGAAAAAATACTCAAAATACACTGAAAATAAATGATTAATTGAATTTACGGTAAGGTTGGTTGTAAACAATTTATATGTGCTGAATTTAAAGAAACAAATTTCATTTAGCAACTTAATTTGTTTCTTCAAATTCAGCTTATATAAATTGTTGGACAATTTGCAATAAACCATTTTTTTTTTGTGACAGTTTTTCATGCTGCACCTTCAGTTACATGTTTTTAATGTCTTAATAAACAAATAAAATAAGCAAAATAAAACATGTAACAAGAAGCCTGTGAGCCATTTATTATTTTTCATTTATTTATATTATTATTTTGCAGTTTAGAATTTTTTAAAAAACATTTTAAGGTCAAAATTATTCGCCCCTTTAAACAATATATTTTTTGATGGTCTACAAAAAAAATCAGCGTTATACAATAACTTGCCTAATTACCCTAACCTGCCTAGTTAACCTAATTAACCTAGTTAAGCCTTTAAATGTCACTATAAGCTGAATAGAAGTGCCTTGAAAAATATCAAGTATAAATATTATGTACTGTCATCATGGCAAAGATTAAAGAAATCAGTTATTAGAAAAAGAGTTTTAAAAAATCTTCTCTCTGTTAAACAGAAATTGGGGGAAAAATAAACAGGGGGATTTATAATTCATAATTATAATTCAATTCAATATAAAGTCCTAAATCAAATTTGGATAGTATTATACTCTTATAATACATTTGTAAACTAAAAAAAAATCTGTTCAAAAGTCTCTCTTCCATTAAGCCACTTTCCAGTCACATGCTGCAAAGGAAACAGATCCATGAAACTGGGGAAAGGCAGAGGGAGAGCGTGCAGAAGAAAGAGCAGCTTGTTGAGGCGCTGTGTGAGTAAAACTCAAAGAGATGCCGGAAACAGCCTGCTCGATGCAGAACACTGAACGCTCTCAGACACAGAGAAATTAGAAGCTGCCTCAAGACACAAAGCAAACCTTTGTGAGGAGCCCTGCGGTGGAAACAGTGAATGGACAGTTTCTCAAGAGTCTGCAGATCTACTGATGGCATTCACAAAGAACATGGACTGCTGGCAGCATGAAGTCCACTGTGTTTTTGGGATGTTCATTTACTCTCTGACATTTCAATAACCTAAATATTTCAATACTTAGTATTTTTTTGTATTATATAAAATTCAAGTGTCTATACATTGTTTGTAAATGTCTATAGTTGTTATAGTTATTTTTTGGAAGACATTTCACAGAGATCAATGGGAAAATTCAAGGATCAGTTACATGAACTGAAACAGAGAGACAATTCAGATTCTCAAAGAATTTGAGCTGAGGATTGTCCAACCCAGGCTCATTCTGAATGTTTCATATATACATTTCTGGAGAGCGCCAAATACATCCCAGAAGCTGCTTTATTTTTTGCAGTTTTAGCGAATCCACCAGAGGCCTCTGTGTACACTTTTTGAGATCTCAGAGGCCGCTGTCGACTGACTGACTGACCGATCGACTGACCCGCCATCTTCCCTAAATCCAACCAACAGTGTTTTCAAAAGCAAATGATTAACTCTCTTATTTTATTTTTTGGCTTTTGTCCTACCTGCTTTCTGGAACCATTCCTCACCGGACTCGAACCCTGTCGTCGCTGTTGACTCTGCACCATGTCACAAGTCCGCCAACATATGCAGTGAGTCTCTGGAGAAACTGGTAACACTAGAAAAGCTGCCCATACGGAGGAAAGCGGTGCCCCGTAGCGTTCGTTTGAAATACATACTTCTGGCTACACTGTAAAAAATGCAGGGTTCCACACAATTTATTCATGTTGTCCCAACATTCCTACACAAATAGACTAAGTTAACTTAACACTTTTAACAAGTTTATGTGGATTGAACATAAAAAATTTAATTGTACCCATGAAATCTCAAGCATTGTGTTGTTTGAGCTCATTTATTTAAGTAGTTTGAACAGTTTAAAACATATTTTTTGAGTGTACATCATTTATGATCTCCAGAAACATATATAGGGGCATGTTTTTCAGAATGAGCCTATGCGATTGTCAACTCAACGTTTGCAAAAGAATTCTACCAAAGATAGCATGTACAATAGTCCTAGTACTGAGCCCTGCAGTACTAAATCAGCTAATGATAAGCTAAATCAGCTCTAAAAATAGTGTCCTTTATAATGATCACGTCAAAATTTCAGTGTTAGTCGGCGCCAGTAGCCTAGTGGTTCTGCGCACTGACATATAGCACCAGTGTGCTCGTGGCGACCCGGGTTCGATTCCCGTCTCGAGGTCCTTTGCCGATCCTTTCCCTCTCTCTGCTCCCAGTGCTTTCCTGTCTGAATTCTCTACTGTTCTATCAAAATAAAAGTGAAAAACCCCTAAAAAAATAATTATTAAAAAAAAATAAAAAATTCAGTGTTAGTAACTGAATTCAGGTCAATAACATCTGATAATGCTATGCTCGTCAGATTGAAATAAGTTCAACAAAACAGTTTTGCGCTTTTTTATGAAATGTTTTTATTATATTTGTGGGTAATTCTTCAATATGGACACTTTTAGTCCTTTGATCATATATCCAAAAATGTATATAATTTTGTTTAAGTTCCTCTTTCTTTGTCAAACTAACAATAAAACCTACTTTAAAAAAATTTACCACCTTTCTATTATATATTTTTCATTTTATTCAACCTCCTTTTGGGTGTCAAAATCACTGTTTTTACCTTGTCGCACACCCAGTTTTAATCTTCAAGAATGAAAAGAACATTTTAAAATATGATTTATCTGGTATCTATTAATGTATCTTGATTAAGCACTAGTGAAATAATTTAAATATTTTAGAGTTATTAATGTGAGACTATTATCAATATTTATTTTTATACAAAATATAGCTGTCGCACAGTATCAGTGTCATTTCCAGCACAACACTGTAATGTCACTTTAAAAAGCTTGTGTGAAAGATTATTGAGGTGGTTTCTATGAAAATGAATAGAGCCATCTGAGAACATGTTCAAGATGGAGGGAATTTACATTTTTATCAACAACACTTGAAGAAAAATGAAGGTAAATATTGCTTAATAAGGAAATACATTTCTTCTACGTCATTTCCAAACATGTTGTACCTTCAAATATGTTTTTAAAAACCAAACAAAATGAAGGTAAATAAGAGTGCTTGGTATACATGAAAGGCTAGTATCAATTTAAAGCTAATCGGTGAAGCTATTTTTCATTTTTTCA